GCAAATATCCCTTTCTGCAGTCTGTCTGGGTCTCCCACCTGGTTCAAAATCAGATTTTGATGGGTGAAAACAAAAGATCCAGGCAAGGGGTGTAGCTCAGTTAGTAGAGTGCTTGCCTAGCCAGCACAGGCCCTGGGTTCGATCTCGAGCCTTGTAAAATCGGGCAAGCCTCTAAGGAGGTAGGAGTAGAAAGATCAGGTAGGTATTTCAAGGTCATCCTCAGCTACTTAGGGAATTTGAGTCCAGCTGGGCACCACGAGGCCCTCTTTCAAAATAACGAAAACTAAAATTCTAAGGTCCCATCCTGTTTCCAAGTGAAGCTGTGTTTCCCTTCCGATCTGCTCGGTGTTGGTTTCAAACTTTGTCATCTGCTAAGGAGGGCCTCTCTGGATTCTGCCTGTGGGTCAGTCCCAAACAGAACCAGGGAAGCTCTGGACCCCTCATAGTTCCTGAAATTCACCAGCGTTGGACCACTGTCTCTCCTCTGGACTCTAACTTCCCCCTTTGAGCGGTGGCAGATTTGTTCTTGAAAGGATTCTTGTCCCTTTGCCTGATGGCTGAGGAAACCAATTTCGGTACTAGGAGCATCTCTATACTCACTTATAAATGCCCACAGCAGACCCAACCGTCACAATTTTAATTAGCTTGGGGGGGGGGGGGGGGGGGGGGGGGAATCTCTCCACCCTGCTTTCCTTATCTAAGTACAATGTGAAGGCCGCCTTGCCTCATCTCTGCCCATCTACCATGGGCACACTCTGGCTTATTTAGTGCTGGGAATCAAAGCCAGGGCTTTGTGCATGCTAAGCAAATGTTCTTCCAAGTAAGCACACCCCCAGCCCAACACTACATCATTTTTGTTTTGTTTTTTGTACATCACTCCTTTTCTTGGTGGTAAAAGTCCCCACTCCCCACCCCAGGCATCTTGAGGGTCGAGTGAGACTTAACACTGAGGAAAATGAGTATCAGATCTGCACTAATGGGGCCACTCTATTCCTTTTGTGCACTAGTGGTGACACAGAAAAAATAATCCAGCCCCGTTTGACTCTGAGCTGTAGAAAATCATTAATATTTTCAGCTGCCATTACTCAGATGCAAGAGGTGAGGCAACAACTTGGAGCCATCTTGTCATCTTACAGAAGGGGACTCTGTCAGAGACTTAGACTTGCCATTAACCTTTGAATTAGTCCTGGTCACATGAGTGTGTATGTTCTTGCCTACACTTGTAAGGCGTATGCTACCCTCACTCCTAGTCTGGATCTTTGGAGTCTGTGTGTCTTCTCCTTCTGGAGCTGATCCCGCCCCTCTTCTTCCTTATTCTCTGGCTGGTCATAGGGTGAGTGAGTTTTGCTCTGTCATGTGTTCTTAGCATGATGTGCTGCCCTGCCACAGGCCCAAGAGCAACAGAGCCAATCAGTCATAGCCCAAAACTGAGATGCAGAATATCCCCTTCTCTTTATGAGTTTATTATCTTGGTTAGTAGTTGTAGCAACAGAAAGCTGGCTAACTGCCAGTTTGTTGACTTGACACAAGCTAAAGTCATCTGGGAAGAGGGAACTTCAAGTGAGAAAATGCCTCCATCAGATTGTTCTGTGGGCAAGTCTGAGAGGGTTTTCTTCTTGATTTATAATCGATGTAGGATGTCCCAACCCACTGTGGGTGGTGCCAGCCCTGGGAAGGTGGTCCTGTGTTGTACTAAAAGCAAACCCAGCAAACCATGTGTCTTAGTTAGGGTTTTATTGCTGTAAATAGACACCATGACCATGGCAACTCTTAAAAAGGAAAACATTCAATTGTGGCTGTTTAGTACAATTTCAGAGGTTTAGTCCATTATCAGCAAGACAGGAAGCAAGGCAGCACACAAGAAGACATGGTGCTGGAGAAGAAAGAGCCAAGAGTTCTACATCTGGATGGCAGACAGCAGGAAGACAGAATGACTCTGGGCCTGGCTTAGCTTCTGAAACCTCAAAGCCCAATCCCTTGTGACACAATTCCACCAACAAGGCCATACTTCCATAATGTCACTCCCTATGAGTCTATGAGGGCCATCTTCATTCAAACCACCACACCCTGAGAAGCAAACGGGTAAGCAGCATTCTTCCGTGGCCTCTGCTTCTGTTCCTACCTCCAGGTTCCTGCCCTGACCCCCGTCATGATGGACTGTGATTGGGATGTGTAGCAGAATAAACCTTTTTCTCCCCATGTTGCTCTTGCTCAGAACTTTTATCACAGCAACAGAAAACAAACTAGGCACACATGGATGGTATGCTTTCTCCAGCCAGTTCACTCCCCCTAGCTCTGGCTATTGCCCCACAAAAGGTCTTAGCCCCTTAGTAATAACAACTTGAAATTGTTTAGCAGTGAAAAGACCCTTGAGGAGAAAACAGTTCCGTATGTAGCAGACAATTCCTGGAATAGACTTTGTCTTAGTCAATGTTCTATTGCTGTGAAGAGACACCATGGCGATGGCAACTCTTACAAAGGAAAACATTTAATTAGGACTGGCTTACAGTTTCAGAGGTTTAGTTCATTATCATCATAGTAGGAAGCATGGCAGTGTGCAGGCAGACATGGTACTGGAGGTAGCTGAGAGTTCTACATCCAGATCAGCAGGCAGCAGGAAGACAGAGTGACACTGGGCCTGGCTTGAACATTCAAAACCACAAAGCTCACTCCCAGTGACACACTTCCTCCAACAAGACCACACCTTCTAATCCATATCAAGCATCACCACTCCCTAGCATTCAAATCTATGAGCCTATGGGGGCCATTCCTATTCAAACCATTATAGACTTCTTCCAGTAAAGTGTCACAGAAGAAACACAACTGGGCAACTGATGTTGGTTGTATGGAGTGTAAGTACACAGGAACACACACATCCAGAAAGAGGAACTGGTATTCTTGGTCCCTCCATAAACACTGAGGAGCAACTCTCCCAAAGGCCCAGCCTCATGTCAAGATCTTGTCTCTCTCTAGTCTCACTTAACCCTAACTAGAATTCCCAGTGAATCCTCCAGCTCACCCAGAACTCAGCATAGAGAAGGGCTTTGAGCTGCAAAACCAGGATCTGGATTTTTGAATGATGCTACTTGAAAGCCATGAGGACATTTTCATAAGGATGACAGAACTTGGAGCCACTTTCCTCTGACCGTAATAGCATCTGGGCTTGTGATGCTGCACAGATAGTGTCACAGAAAATCAAAGACTCTGGGAGTTCTGAGGTCAGCCAGGGATGAACTAGTATGTTACGATAAATCTTTCTGCCAAAGGCCACTGAGCCCCACCGCCACGTGTGCGCTCTATGCCAACCGCCCGCCCGAGTTAGGGCCCAAATTAATGCACAGAGAGACTTGTATTAGGTTCAAAGATGCTTTGCCAATGACTAGGATTCTCATCTGTTAGCTCAGTCTCAATTATCATAAATCTATATATTTTATAAGACTTATCTTATCAGACACCTTAATTGGCATCCCTCCTTGCCAGTGGCTCACATCCTGCTGCTGGAGGAGGCAAAGGGAAAAAAGGAACACTTCCTGTTTCCTCGCTTAGATGAGTCTCCTTGCTATGTCACTTCCTGCCTGTAACACCACTTCTCTCCTGCATTTCCCAGAATCCTCTTTGCCTCCTAGCCCTGTCTAACTTGCTGCCACTGGCCAAACAGAACTTTATTTAGCAATCAATAAGATAAACATACACAGTACATTCCCCATCACTAGTATCCCAGCTCTAGAAATTATTCCCTATATGTCTCAAGTCAAGAGTATGGATCAGCTGGGCATTGGTGGCCCACGCCTTCAATCCCAGCACTCGGGCGGCAGGGGCAGGCGGATCTCTGTGAGTTCGAGGCCAGCCTGGTCTCCAGAGCAAGTTCCAGGACAGCCTCCAAAAGCTACACAGACACCCTGTCTCAAAAAGCAAAACAAAACAAACAAACAAACAAGAGTATGGATCGGTAACATGATAGTTGTGGGTCAAATGGCATGTAAAACACACCTCATGCCTGGCATACCATAAATCCCCCATAAAAGGAAGATTATCACAGTTAGATGGGGCACTTACACAGTTGACTAAAAATAAGATTTTTGCTAGCGAGAAAGTGGAGTCTGTAGAGCAAAACTATCTTGTGGTGAAAATGAACACATTTACTCCCTGCTCAAGGTCAGCCATCTCCAGACACATAGTTCAAGTTCGAAAACTTTTTAATACACACATACAACTTACATACTTACTAACATAGGGAAATGCCTATGTTGCTTCCTCCCTAACCATAGGCTATTGTTTATTTATAATGTGTGAATTAGCTACTTTTCTGTCGCTGTGGTAAAACACCTTGACCAGGGCAACTTATAGAAGGAAGAGTTTATCTTGCCTTACAGTTTCCAAGGGATAAGTGTTCACCATGGCCGGAAGGCATTGCAGCAATCAGCAGACATAGTGGAAGAAATGACCCGAGAGAAAGATCACATCTCCACTTGCAAGCAGGAAGCAGAGAGCAAACAGGATGTTCAAGAGACCATAAGCGCTCAAAGCCAGTGACTTACTTCCTCCAATAAGACTCCACTTCCTAAAGTTTCCACACTCTCCCTATATAGCTCCACCTACTGGGGACCACGTGTTCAAATGCATGTGTCTCATTCAAACCACTGCAATGTGTTAATTTTCAAATGTTTAAGGCTTTGCAAATTTTCTTTTTCTTCTTTTCGAGACAGAGTTTCTCTGTAGCTTTGGAGCCTATCCTGGCATTTGCTCTGTAGACCAAGCTGGCCTCAAACTCACAGAGATCTGCCTGCCTCTGCCTCCCAAGTGCTGGGATTAAAGGCGTGCGCCACCAATGCCTGGCACAAATTTTCTTTTTGCTGTTCATCTGTAAATTAAATTGATTATAGTCATAGAAAATACTTCACATGCTTCCAGTTCTTTTATTTATTGAGATTTGATGTGCAGCATGGCTTGTAGTCTGTGAAAATACTTCATGTGCTCTTAATGAGAATTGTGTTCTCTACCTACTGGGTATGGTGTTCTGTATATGCTAAGTGGAGTGCCTTTTTGGATGGTCTGTTCAAATTTTGTTAATTTTATTGCTAGTAACCCACTAATTATTTTCACAAGGCTTTGAAGCCTGCAACTGCAGTTATAGAACTGTGAATTTCTCCCTCTAATTGTCAGCTTTGGTTGCATGACTGTGAAGCTGTTCTCTAATATCTTCATTTGTAGTTGTTGCATCTTTCTGATGTGTTGGCCCTTTCTATCATTGTGAAATTAACTATTCTTGGTTCTAAAAATAGTTTTGTAGTAAGTCTATTTTACGTGATGACAACATAGGTGTTAGAGATCTTAGTGATATCAGAATAAATTGAATGACTTAAAACAATAGAAATGGTCTCACAGTTCTGGCAGCAAGAAGCCTTAGAACAATGGTTCTCAGCCTATGGTTTGTGACCACTGTGGGGGTCAAATGACCTTTTCCCAGGGTCATCTAAGACCGTCAGAAAACACAGATATTGACATTATGATTCAAAACAGTAGCAAAATCACAGTTATGAAGTAGCAATGAAAATGATTTTATGGTTGGGAGTCACCACAACAGAAAGAATTGTATTAAAGGGCTGCAGCATTAGGAAGGGTGAGGACGACTGGCTTAGAATATGCTACCAGAAGAGCCATGCTTTCTCCCAAGCTGCCAGAAAAGAATCCTTCTCTACCTCCTCCAGCACCCAGTGGCTCCCAGTAGTCCATGGAGTAAGCACATCCCACTGGTCTCTGTATCCATTGTTCCTTCTGTGTCTCTGTGTTCAAATTTCCCTCTTCTTATGAGGTGATCAGTCACTGCATGGGGTCCACTCTGATAGGACCACCTCCACTTGCTTACATCACCAGAAATAGATAAATTAATTGTCCGTCTTCAAATAAGATTGCTTGCACAGGTTCCTAGTGGACATAAGTTTGAGAGAAACAGCACTCTAACGAGCACAGCACCCCACCACTGATTACTTCTTGTAAAGAATATCTTTTCTCATCATTTAACTTTCAGCTATTACATCATGTGTCTGTGTTGTCTGTGTGTATGTGTTCATAGGAGGGATATATATGCATACATTCAAATATGGAGGGCAGAGGTCAGCATTGGCTGTTTTCAAAAACTTGCCAATTTTTTTTAGTCAGGGACTCTCATTGAACCTGGAGCTCATTGATTTGACTGGCCAGTGAATGCCAAGAATCTGTCTAACTCCATCCTCCCGGTGCTGAGATTACAAATACACTACTGCACCCAGAGTTTTCTATTTTTGTATTTTAGATTTATTTTATGTGTGTGCTTTATTGCAGAATAAACTATGATTGCTTTAATAAAGAGCCGAATGGGCCGATAGCTAGACAGAAAGGAGTTAGGCAGGACTTCTGAGGACATAGAAGTCTCAGGGAAGAAAAAAGGCGGAGTTAACAGCCTGGTGGAGAGGGAGCAAGATATGCAGGAGATGAGGTAAAAACCACAAGTCACATGACAACATGTAGATGAATAGAAATGGATTAATTTAAGCTATAAGAACTAGTGGGTCAAGCCTGAGCTATATGCTGAGCTTTCATAATTAATAATAAGTCTCCATGTTTTTGTTTTTGTTTTTTTTTTTGTGAGCTGGGTGGCCCAAAGAAAAATCTACCTAGTGTTTTTTTTTTTCTGCATGTGTGTATGTGCACTACATGCATGCAGTTCCATGTGGAGGCCATAAGAGGGCGCTACTCTAGAACTGAGGTTACAAAAGTTGGGAGTCATCATTTGTGTGCTAGAAATGGCATTAGACCTACAAGAGCAACAAGTGTTTTTAACTGCTGAGCCATCTGTCTAGCCTGTATCCCTGGCTTTTTATGAGTGTTGAAGATCCTAACTAGTGTCCTTATGCTGGGACAGCAAGCATTTTACTAACTGGAGTTACAGATGGTTGTGAGGTACCATATGGGTGCTATAAACTGAACTTGGGTCTTTTACAAGAGCAACAGGCTCTTAACTGCTGAGCCATCTCTCCAGCCCTGCTATTGTATTTTTAGATTGAAGTCCTGTCACTTAAAGACAAGACTGGAGGCCAAGTATGGTAGTGCATGCTTGTAATTCTAGCACTGTGTCTAGGACAACCCAGGATCCATAGAGAGATTTAAAATTGTGAAATTGCTTTGTGAGATGATGTATTGGACACACACATGCCTAACACACCTTTCAGTGTATTCTCTCTCCAATTTAAGCCTTGGCTTCTTTTTAGTTCTCAAGAAACAGCTGCCTGGTGTCTGTTCACCAACCAAATTTATATGAAAGTCTGCCTATAAAGGGCTAGAAATAAAAAGCCATATAAAATGGCTCAGCAATTCACTCTGACTGTCAAGAGTCTGGAGCATAGTTTCTTTTCATTTCCACACGACACAACTGTCTCAGACGTGTAGCAGAGCCCTATTGAGATTAAGATAGCTGTCTTTGCAGACTCTCATGCAGTTCTTATCTCTGAAACAGAGCAGTGGTCTTGCCACAATGCCATGCATAAGTTATGCTGCTGCTTGTTCATGATACTGTCTATGACGTCAGGGGCAGGGTCGGGTAACAGAGGCTGGGAGATCCTACAGTTTGTAGCTGTGTGCAAACCTTGGTGGCTTTCCTGTGGCTGTTTCTCGAGGAAAAGTGAAACTGCTTATCTCATTTGTGTGGAGAGTGCAGTCTTCCCACCAAGGTGAGAAAAAGTTTGTACTTTCTAGACTTTTGCTAGTTCTCTGTGGATGGCTATACTGGCTGGTATCTGCCTGGCTGGCTCCAGGCATTTCCTTCATTCTCTCCTCTCTTCTCTTGTTCTTTCTTAGCCTACACTTCTCCTCCTACTTATTCTCTCTGCTCACCAGCCCCACCTATCTTTCTCCTGTCTAGCTACAGTCCATTCAGCTTTTTATTAGAACTTTTAGGTGCCTTTAGGCAGGCAAGGTGAAACAAATGCAGCACATTTTTATATAATTAAGCAATTGCATCATAAGCAAATGTAGCATATCTTTACATTATTAACAAAGGCAGCAGAAACAAATGTAACAGACCTTCACATAGTTAAACTAATATTCTGCAGCAAAAACAAATTTAACGCATCTTTGCCTGGTTAAAATAATATTCCACAGCAAATCGCAGCATTGAGTTGCCATTAACCATTTCTTTCTTCCTTTCTTTCTTCCTTCCTTCCTTTCTTTCTTTTGTTTTTCCAGACAAGGTTTCTCTGTATTGTTTTGGAGGCTGTCCTGGAACTCCTTCTGTAGACCAGGCTGGTCTCAAACTCACAGAGATCCGCCTGCCTCTGCCTCCCAAATGCTGGGATTAAAGGCGTGCGCCACCAACGCTCGGCGCCGTTAACCATTTCTTAAACTGTGTCTCTATTGTGTCTTGTGAGTCTGCTCTTTATTCTGTTGTCTTCTTCAGGACCTGACTTATTGTGTCTTTCCCCCTCCCCCCTTCATATGCTTCTGCTAAGCCACACTCTATCCTGTATGTGTAAGGTCTTTAGTATAAACCTTAAGTATCCCTTTAATATTTTATAGATATTCCCTTTATAGATTCAAAACTTGCATTGAATCAAGAGAAATAGTTTCATATGTCAACAAGCCTGAGCTTATGGTGTCATGATTTCTGTTCACAGACCCATGGAGATGGACTCTTTCCTCTGGGATGATGTTGGCTCTATGGTACAGAATAGAGCCATGGAGCAAATCATTACACCAATGACTATCCAGCTTTGTCACCTGCTCATCTCAGTGGAGAGGAAAGATGTACAGAAAGAAGCACTTGCCTCCATGCAGAAGGTGGCAGAGGACCTGGCCAATGCTAGTGAGGAGTTTGTGCATGTTGCCAGCAGGTAATATCTCCATGGAACTTAAGCCCATTCCTCTGACAGACGAAACACATAGTGGAATCTGATTATAGTCTTTAATGCTTTGGGGCTGGTGGATGTAGCTCAGTACCTGCTAGCATACGAGAAGCTCTGGGTTTCATCCCAGCACTGCATAAACTGGATGTGGTGGTGTGCATCCCAGAACTTAGGAGGTAGAGTGTGGAGGGCCAGAAGTTTGCGGTTTTCCTTGGCGACTGATGTAGTCACTCTTCTATAGCTGTAAAGAGATACCATGACCAAGATAACTCTTATAAAAGAATGCATTTAATTGTGGGCTTGCTTACAGTTTCAAAGGTTTAGTCCATTATCATCATGATGGGAAGCATGACAATATACAGGCAGCCATTGTGCTGGAGAAGTAGCCAAGAATTCTGCACCCTGATCTCTGTGGAGAGAGAGAGAGAGAGAGAGAGAGAGAGAGAGAGAGAGAGAGAGAGAGAGAGAGTACCCCTGTACCTGGAATGGGCTCTTTGAAACCTCAGAACCTACCCCCAGTGACTCTTTCTCCAACAAGCCCTTTAACTCCTAATCCTAATCTCTTTAACTAGCGCCACTCCCTAGTGACTATGCTTTCAAATGCATGAGCCTGTGGGGGGCATTCTTATGTAAACCACCAAAACTATATAGCCAGTTTGAATCCAGGCTGAGACTGTCTCAAAAAAATAAATGCTTTCTGATAAAAAGGCACGTGAGACATAAACTAGCATAGGAATGGATGTAGATTGTTGAGTTTGCTTCTTTGTTGCTATGATAAAATCCTGACCAATAATAGCAACTCGGAAGAGGAAAGTATTGACTTGGATTAACAAGCTATAGTTCATCGTCAAGGGATAAACTCAAGGAAGGAACTTGGAGGCAGGCACTAAAGCACTAACCATGGAGTGACACTGTTTCTTGGGTTGCTCCCTTGGCTCAGCTACATTTCTTAGACAGCCCAGGCCCACCTTCCCGTGAGTGGCACCACCAACAATAGGCTGGGCCCAACTACACCAGTTATCAATAAAGAAAATGCCCTCATAATCATGACTACAGGCCAATCTGATGAAGGCAATTCTTCTGTCCAGGTCCCTCTTCCCAGGTGTGTTCAACCAAGATTAGCTACCTCAGCTATGGAATTGGGGCAGAACCTAAAGGTCACGTGACTCCGGTTAGGTAAAATGAAAAACTATAGTGAGAAATATTGTAAAATATTTGTTATAAATTATGTATAGGAGCTGGAGATATGGCTTAGCACTTAAGAATGCTTGCTGCTCAATCACAAACCTATGTTCAGATCCCAGAACCCATGAAGTAACATTCACTCACATACATAAAGTAAATCATGTAGAAATTTGTTAACAGAGTGATTTTTTTCAAGACAGGGTTTCTCTGTGTATCTTTGGAGCCTATCCTGGCACTTGCTCTGGAGACCAGGCTGGCCTCAAACTCACAGAGATCTGCCTGCCTCTGCCTCCCGAGTGCTGGGATTAAAGGCGTGTGCCACCAACGCCTGGCTAACAGACTGATTTTATACTGATTTAATACTTTCTCATAAATTCTGAATTTCTGACAATGCATTTTTTTAAACCCAAAAAGTGCAGTAAGTTTAGAGAGGCTAAATGTTGTTTGTGTTCACTGCATTATGAATGCCTTTGCTTATTGTCTTTTCCTGGCAAGGTAAATTATTTATACAGAGAATTATCAGTGTTCACGACTGTGGGAAATGGTCCAGCCCTTCTTATCCTAGCAAAGTCATAATAATGAACACTTGGACTTGAGTTTGGCTCCACCATCCCTGAGCAGTTCCCAGATGGAGGCAAGAAGTACATCCCATTAAGTGTTGGGCTGGCAAGCTCCTGCCTTCCTCTGCTGGGCAAGCTCTCAGGGGGCCAGAACCTGCCCCATCAGCTGCTGTCTGTCTGCATGCATAAGTGAGAAGAGGCCAGCACAGAGATATGTTTCCTCTTGCTCAGAAACATAGCTCATGGTGAACATTCAGGAAATATGAATGAGCAAAGAAAGAAAAAATATTACCCACAAAAAAATATTTACCTAGAGACAGTCATTCTGGGTAGTTGAGCATATACATATCCAAGATATTTTTCTTTCTAAATTTTCCCTCCCCATCACTCCACTATGTATTGTGGTTGGCCTACACTGTATAAGCCAGGCTGGCCTGGAACTCTCAGACACCTGTCTGTCTTGGCCTCCCCAGTGTTGAGATTAAAGGCAGGTGCCACAATGCCTGACCTGGAAACAATCTTTTTTTTTTTTTTTTTTTTTTTTTTTTTTTTTGATTTTTGAGACAGGATTACTCTGTGGCTTTGGAGGTTGTCCTGGAACTAGTTCTTGTAGACCAGGCTGGTCTCCAACTCACAGAGATCCGCCTGCCTATGCCTCCCTAGTGCTGGGATTAAAGGCATGCACTACCACGACCTGGCTGGAAACAATCTTTTTAAACATATGTAGAAGTAATCTAGGCTTTTCATTATTTTAAGGGGCATGTGACAATTTCTGAGCTCCTGACACAGTTGTAAGTGTCGCGTCATTGACTGTCTGAGTAGACTTCTAGTGAAGATTTGTCTAGAATCACAAGGTTATATCGCCACTGAGAATCATAATCCACATATCCCATACAGATAATGACAGATACACAGTGGACATTTTGCTTAAAGGACACAAAGTAGCAATAGTCGGTGAAGGGAATCCACATCAAAACCATTTACAACAACACAGAGTGAGTTAATAGTAATATCTGAGCATTGACCGAGTGAAATCCTGTATTAGTTGATTTGCTGCAACTTGAGGAAGAAAGGTTTTATTTCAGCTGTGGTTCTAGAGGAAGAGTTCTAGAGGAAGAACTGGGGAAGCATGCCAGCAGGCAGCTGGAGCGGGAAGCTGAGAGCTCCCATCTTTAACAACACCAAGTGGAGACCAAACTGAGCTGGATGAGGCTCAAAGCCAGCCTCCAGTGACGTACTGCCTCTAGCAAGGCTGCCCCTAACAGGGCCACCAACGAGGGACTAGGTTTGCAAATACCCGAGCCTACGGGAGACACCTCGTTTAAACCACCACAAACCCATGCACATAGCATTAAAAACTTAGATTTGGGGCTGGAGAAATAGCTCCTAGTTTGGTGTTGTAGAAATGTCGTGTGACCTTGGTGGAAGTCGGCGTCAGGGATGGCAGTATTAACAGCATTTAGCTTGCCTGGTGAGCGCTATCATGTGACTGGTCTTGTAAAGAGGTCCTGAAGCTTCCAAATGTTTCCACATTTTCCTCCCTGCTCCCCCTTTTTTTGCACGTGTATGTGTGTGGAGCTTGCATGCATCCATGCACATTTGCGTGTGTGTGGGTTGCCGGGGTGTATGCATGTGTGTGCACATATGTATGGAGAGCAGAGCCGCCTGACTTGAGTGTCTTCATCCATCACTCTCTACCTTATAAACTGAGGTAGGGTCTCTCACTTGAATGAAGACCTTGCTGATTCATCTACTGTAGCCAGCCAGCTTGTTCCAGGAAAGCCCTATCTCTGTCTCCTAAGTCCTGGACTACTGGTAGGCTGCCACACCTACCCAGCATTTGTGTGGGTACTGAGATCTAAACTCGGGTTCTTATATTTGAACAGCAAGCACTATACCCACGGAGCCACCTCCTCAGCCCCTGAGTTTTACATTTTCTATGTACTCAGAAGCCTAGATCAGCAAGAGATGTCTTTCAGAGAATAATGAATTCTTTTGCTAGCTTCATGCTTCCTTGTCTGTTAGCAGGTGCAAGACAGCGAGCGCCCTTTAGGTTAAGAAATGCGAATCTGGACTGTTCTCCACCCATTATATCTATCATCCTCACAGGCAGGTTCATCCTCAAAGGGAAGGGACTGGTGTTCTATGCCAAGGATCTAAACTTACATCCAAGCACTCTGGAGAAGGCTCATTTGATCTTCATGGGAAGTCTGGAGTATGTTTTACCTATCCCATTATGACCGCCAACTCTTGGCATGTTTAAAATGAAGAGCTATTTCAAGTGTTTGTGAGAATGTGTGGGAACTTGAAGTCACTCGTTGCTGATTAGAACACAGTATGTTGCAGCTGCTTTAGAAAATATTCTCTAAAAGTTAAATGTACACCTGTTGTTATTGGGTGTGGTGACATAGTTAGGTGTGATATCACCACAATTAGGCATTTGTCCAAGGGAAATGGAATCCTGTGTCTGCACAAAGACCAAGGCATGAATATCCACAACAGTGTTCTTTCTTTTTAGGTTTGTGTCCACAGTCCTAGGGATTGGACTTAGAACCTGGCACCTCTGGGCAAATGCTGTGTTAGATCACCAACCTTTTTATTTCAAGTGTTAAAACAAGTTCTTTGTAAGTTGTCCAAGCTGGCCACAAACTCTTTATGTGGCCCACACATGGCGTGAACTTGTGATCCTCCTGCCTCTGCCTCCCAAATAGCTGGGAATATAGGTATGTGCCACCATGCCAAGCACAGTGGCTTTGTCTTATTTCTAATAGCTGAGATAGAGTGGCCTCACATTTCTTACCTGAAACTCTGGAGGCCAGAAGATGCTGGGATCATTGTATGCAGGCTGTTGAGAAGAAAAGCCTGAGACCCAGAATTCTCTACCCAGGAGCATATATATATATATATATATGTCATTAACCTGTTTAGCCTAACCGTGTGACATTTGTAAAGGTTGGAAAGTATATTGAGGCAACAACTCTAATTCACAAACTAAAACACCTGAAGAAAGTATGAAGAGAAATTTTAAACATTTTTTAAAAAAAGAATTTATTTATTTATTATGTATAGTGTTCTGTCTTCGTGTATGACTGCAGGCCAGAAGAGGGCACCAGCTCTCATTGTAGATGGTTGTGAGCCACTGTGTGATTGCTGGGAATTGAACTTAGGGACCTCGGGGACTCAGGATCTGTGGAAGATCACAAATGGCTCTTAACCTCTGAGCCAGTTCTCCAGCCCGATTATTATTTTTTAACTCAACATTGTGTCCTGGGGAGAAATCTATGGCTCATAAGCACAGTTGTCAAGGTTGGCTTTAATGGTTCTGTACCTTCTGTGTACCCTTGTTTTCCGGGGTTCTTTGGTTCTAATGCTATAACATTGCAAGTAATGTTTGTGTCTATTCAGGCTGGCCGGAGACTCTGAGGAGGAGTGGCTTAAGGAGGAAATGCAGCCTGTGGTTGAGTCTTTGATGCTCTCTGGAAGGAACATCCTGATGGTAACCCAGAAGCTCCCCCTGCAGCCGGAGTGCCAGCGCCACTGGGAGGAGCTAGTGGCCACCGCTCAACAGATCCTGGTAGACACTACCAAGGTGAGGCTCCCTCAGAGTTGGCTGGCTGCTTGGTCATTGCTGGAGAATACGCATGGCCATGTGGTTCCCACAGGAACTCCCTAGTGTCTCTTAATTTGAAACCTGCCCAAGTGCTTGCCAAGATCCCAGACAGAGTTCATTACCGATTTAATCAGGGCTAAATTGAAGCTGTAGTAGGAGCAGGTACAACCCTTCCAAATACTCTCAGATTTTTACCCTGATACACGTTCCTTGCTAAATACAACTTAAATTTATTTTGGAGATTTTATTTACTTGTATTTTATGTGTATGAGTGTTTGCCTGAATGTGTGTCTGTGCACCACATCTGTAAAATGCCTGAGGGAGGCAGATGGAGGCAGAGGAAGGCATAGGATACCCTTGCTTTGGAGTTACAGACAAGTGTGCCCCCTTGTGGATGCTGGGAATCAAACCCAGGTCCTCCGGTAGAACAGCCAGTCATCTCTCCAGCTCCTGTGCACAACTCTTAGACTGGGATATTGCTCCTGGGTCAAATGCATATCCCCGAAATATTTTGCTGTTGTTCGTTGTGTGGTTTGTTGACAGATATTTGCACAGGCCTTATCGAAGAGTAGTTGCAATGGGGTAGGGGAGGGTGAGAGGTAGAACCAGAGGGGTTTGGGCGCCTGCTGGTGGTGAGTGAAGGCTTTTTGGCTTGGATACCAGCCTCAGGATTAGAGAGTGAATGGAGCACGCTCTCCCTCTCTCAATCTCTCTCTCTCTCTCTCTCTCTCTCTCTCTCTCTCTCTCTCTGTGTGTGTGTGTGTGTGTGTGTGTGTGTGTGTGGCGGGGGTGGGGGTGTCAGGCTAGAAAAGCTGTCTCAGAGAAGCCCTCCAGCTCATCGCTGTCATCTAAATAACAATACATCTTTGAACAGTTCAGGGTAGACCCCACCGTGAATATGGAGAGAAGGCAGCTGCTTCAGACCTCTGCTTTACAAAGAAATGCAAACACCACAAACTTCCAAGACTGGCCTGCGCATCATCAGATCCAGTCATGGCAGATGATGCCTGCATTTGGTTACAGTCAGATTAACTGACAATGTAAGGTCTCCTAGGCTTAAGCTACATGGCTCCAAGAATGTTCAGGCATCTTCAAGTTTCTTTCCTGTGACCGCCCCAGCAGGTCCTGCTCCTTGAAGACGCAGCAATGGCGAGGAAGACCGTGCCAGTCAGTGGTTGGTGTCTGACGTGCCTGGAGGCTCTCGAGGCCGCGGAGGATGCGACTTCTCTGCGCGCCTCGATCTCTGACCTGGCGGCTGCGCTGCTGCGACTGGGCAGCCTGACCAGGCGCTGGGCCCGGGACGAAAGCCTGTGTCGAATTCGCCACCAGCTAGGGTGCTGCATCCCAGCGCTACTAGCGGCCGCCCGCGGCCACCTCCGGCACCCGCACAATCCGCAGGTGGTGGTAACACGGCGCCGCGTCTTTGCTCTGACCAGACAGAGCCTCAGGGAGCTCCAGGCTGTGCTGCAGCCCGGAGTCTCAGGGCCCGGTGCTCGCTCTCAGAATGGCGCACTGGCGCGTTGTCTGCAGAAGCTGCAACAGGTCCTGGAGGAGCCTGGGCCAAGCCACCTGCGTGGTGGGCTGCTGGATGCGCCACTGGCCGCGGTGGTGTGGCACTGCCTGCGCCTTGCTGCCTGCTCCGCGCCACGGGAGAGGATGCAACTGGTGGCCCATTGCCGCCAGCTGCTGCAGCTCCGTCCCCGGGTACACCGGCCTCCCCAGACCAGTGCAGGGACAGAATGCATAGCTCTGCGGGCTGCGACGGACGCACTCTGTCGGGGAGTCCGCGCTGGATTACTGCGCCTGATTCTGGATACGTTCACAGATACCCAAAGTCCTCTAGAGAGGCTGGGGCCGGCCGCCTTAGCAACTTCCACCATCAGGCCCGGATGCAATAGCGAAGCCTTGGCCGAGACTCTCCGGCTTCCCCTCGAGGCTTTCCACAACCAAGCCAAGCAAATGATCCGAGTGGCACACTTTGTCTGGGTCTTCTGCCCCCAACAGCAAACTGGCAGAGACGTGGAGGCTGCTGTGGCAGGTCTTTGGGGGCTTGTTGTCAAAGTGAAGGAACTCTTTTCACAGAGTCCGCAAACACATGGCCTGGATTGGAGCTCTGCCACCCTGCAGGCTCTGCTTGAGGCCTGGGCTAGGGAATCCCAACACCTCTTGGGATGCTTTGATGTGGTTCTTGATATTCCCGAATTCCTGAGTTTGTCCATCCAGGAAATGACTAACCACTTGGACCTGTACACAAGGGCTCTGAGGAGTGGAGAGTCCAGAGAGTTCTCCGGATCTGTGGCGTTCTTACATGGAAGAGCCACACACATAGTACAGGTGATGAGCAGGTATGTGGGTCAAGACCCAGATCCCATTTTCCGAAATGGGATGAGAGTCGTGGTTCAGCAGCTGGCGCAGTCTTCCTTGACTCTGGCTGCAGCCACTGAAGGCAGCACAAGTGGGGACAGCACTCAGGACATCCGTCCCTTTTTAACCAAGGCACAACATCTCATCTATTCAGCTCGGCAAGTCCACAAGGGGCTGGATGGGGCCAACCACCCAGACATCCTCAGTCCGCTTCGATTCCAAGTCCAAAGGTTTGACATTGCCAAGGGACGGCCTTATTTTATTCTCCCCAGCATCCAGCATCCCGCAGCTCCCTCAGTGACATGCCAGCAGGTAGCTGGGTTAGGGGAAAGTGGCACAAACACTTCTTTCCTACCAGTAGAACAACTTTCCTACACAGTGGTCCCTGACACCTGCAAACAGGGGTGGGCCTCTCCACTCCTTGCTGTCAGCGAAGTCATCACTGCTATGGAGAACCGGGATCACCAGGTAGTGACCTCACCATGCACCAACATGCTAGAGCGGGAGTCTACTGTGAATATAGCCCAAGAAATCCAGGCTGGGGAAGAACCCGTGCGGCCAGGGAGGATGAGAAGACCACACAAATTCTCAACAGTGGTACCTTTGATTACTGACCTAGCCAGGGAGGAAGTCCCTAGCACACACACTAGAAGTGACAGGCTCCTAGGAATGGCTTTTCAGCAATCTGGGAGGACCAGGGAAGCTAGGCAAGCTTTGGTAGCCACGGCCAGTGACTGGTACTCTCTGTGTCAACAACTATTTTGCCATAGCCAAATGACTGAGTTACCAGGGAGCATGGCAGTTTTTGTGGAGCTTCGGCAGAATTTGGCCTCAATGGTTCAAGTAGCAGCCAAAAGTGGCCCTGTGAATTTGAAAGAGAAGAGCCCTGACCCAATGGGGCACCCAAGAATACTTTTAGAGCTACAAGGACTGTTGGAAAAAACAGAGATCCATGCTAAACAGCTGTTGGACCAAGCTCTGTCCTTTGATGGTCTCCAAGACCCCAAGTTGAGGGAAGAGAATGTTGACAATGAGTGCCTTCTATGGGCAGTGGCTGTCCAGGACCTGATACAGTGTATAAACAGACTCAGTAAGAGACAGGGGCTGTTCCTACTTCCCCTGCAACAAGCAGTGAAGAACCAGCAGGGCTTGCAGGAAGGGTTAGATCAGGCAGCAGATGTTTCTCAAAGGTTACAAGAGGCCGCCGAGCTGTCTAGTGTTCTGTGTGGGGATGAACAGGTAAAGGGTGAGGTCTCCTTTTTGTGTGGGGAAGTTCGGGTACTCACAGATGCCTTGCTGGAGGTGGCACACATCTTGGTCTCCTCCCACAAGCCTTGTCCCAGCCTCTCCACACGCTTTGAGCTTCTCTGCTTGGAACTTAGCCTTCGAGCCAAGGCTCTGACTGACTACCTGAGCAGCATCAACACTGTCTATGAGGAAGTGTTCCAAGATGTTGTTGACAAGAGCTCCCCGTCAAGGCTGTTGTCTGTTATCCAAGTTGTGCAGGGAATCATAGCAGGAGGTCAAGAGTCTGGAGCCTTCCAGGAAGACCTTCTTGTGTCTCTGAAGAGCATTCTCATGCTTACTAAGGAGGTGGCCAAGAGGGTCCCCGTGCTCCAAGAACACCCAGAGGAGCAGGGGTTGCCTATGCTGGACTGGCTTCGGTGGGAATGGGCCGCCAAGGCCCACCATGTAGTGACTCAGCTCCAGGCCTTGCAAGGTGGTCACACTGGGGCCTGGAGACTCCTGATCCAATGCTTGAAAGCCAGGGAGGAGCCAGTAAAGGCCCTAGAAGAGGATCCAGACCAACTGCAGCCTCACTGTAAAGAGGATTCAGCAGGAACCACTGCAGGGGGCAGTGTGGATTCTCTGGATGCTGTTCCCAAAGGCACTCCCCAAAGCTCAATGGGGACCTGTGCTGATGAGCAAGCCACCACGGTAGACATGAGCATGGTAGGCTACCTGGCATCTTTCATCTACCTCACCTGGACCTGCTTCCTAGTAACTAAAGACCCTTGCACATTCCAGAGACTCGATGCCCACACCACATATATAATTCACACAGGGCAGACAGCATGGGCAGCCTCTAAAAGCCTAAGGTTGGGTTTCAGGTTCCCTAGCCTGCAGCTACCTCTGCCACGCCCTTAGCAAAATCACAGAGAGGTCTCAGCACCATTTAGACTCCAGCATTCTAGTCCTATAGAGGGCTAAAGAATGAGTCCCTGCAAACACACTTCCCTTCTGTTAGCATCTTGTATACATCCTAGAACTAGTGCCTATGCTTTTCATTGGCTTTTGTGAAGCTTTTCCTTATCACTTTAACTGAACTCTTCTATGATTGCCAGTACTTGGGCTGCTTCAGCCACTCTGACCTCCCCTCTCCCAAGTGACAAGGATGCGACTAGAATCACTGTAGTATGGGGGAGAGGGGTTTATTAGAAAGACGCTAGGTCTGTTGAATACTTCCCCTACGTATCTGCTTCCTTCTAGGGCAAGACAGAACACTTCGGCATTAAGAATCTGAAAGATTGTATTTCTATTGACCAGAGCCAAAGTCAGTAGGAAACAGGACAGCTTAGCAGGGCTCTAGTGGTCTCCCTGCAGATACACGTCATCCAGTGTTTGTAGCTCTAGAGGTGATTGGATCCCAGCGAGTGGAGCCTAAAAATGAGGTCGACTAAAGTCTCATGCCGTAGTCAACGTTACTTAGAGGCTCAGACAATTTACACTCTGAGGGTTAAGAAAGGTCACATGAGTAAAGTTCTCATGATTCCAAACTGTATACAGTCACAAGAAGCTGCATGAGGCAAAACCCATTTTTCCACAGAAGCATATAAACAATAGCAAGTTGTAGTCAGTCGTCTGAAGTAAACTCACTCCTGTCTGCCACACCTGGGAGAAGCACAACAGCACATTCCAAAAAACAAGTCTGCGTTTTTGAAGAAACTGAGGTCACAAGACTCTTGTCTTGTTTTCTTGGAGTTCTCAGAATGGTCCTAGCATGACTGCAGTTTTGGACCATGTTCTGACAATCCAGGATTTGATAGATGAGTCGCCTAATCTATCCCTTGGTGACCTTATGGATGGCTGAGCAGAATCTCCCAAAACTCCACAGGGCTTTTCCCAAGATAAAACTGACCACAGCACACCATGCTTTTATCCCTGCCCTTATTAGCCTCACTTCTTTTTTCTCATCAAAATGTCACTTCCACGAAAGGGGACCCTGTGACCCAAGTAATGGGGAGAATAACAGACACATTCCCCTGTGCTCTGGGCTGCCTGCTCATCTCTCAGCTTTATAAATCCAAATGGCTTTCAGACTCTCTCTCCTCTTCTCGGGCTCTCTGTAGTCGTCAGCACACAGCTAATGCCACCCACTCACTGACTTGTCTTCTGTTCCTGTCAATGCAGCAGAAGCATTTCCCAGGGTGGCAGGGCAGGGCGACACTGGCCACCCAATCAGAAGGCTCTGAGAACAAGACAACAGCACATTCTCTAAGTCCCGTTCTCACTCTCGTCTGTGAAAGGACACCTGTGGGAAGTGCTTCACTCCAGGTCTGGAGTCTCGAAAGCACAATCCTCGGCCCACGTTGAAAAGCTTGGAGTCATTTCTAGATTTGGATGCTTTAAGTATCTGGAAGGTGTTAAAAAGGCCACTTCCTAAGTTTCCTCACCGTAACAGTTGGGGTTTCTATTGCTGTGATAAAACATCATGACCAAGTCAACTTCAAAAAGCAGGTGTTTAACTTGTCTTATGGTTTCAGAGTGTTAAGGTCCATGGTGGGGGAGTGAAGACACGGTGGCAGGCAAGAAGCTCAGAGGTCTTGATCTGCAAGTAGGAGGCAGAGAGCACACTGTCTTGAAACCTCGGGACACACCTCCTCCACCCAGGCCACACCTCCTCACCCTCGGGACACACCTCCTCCAGCAAGGCCACACCTCCTCACCCTTCCCCAATGGTTCCGCTAACTGGGGCCGTTCTCATTCACACGCCCACACTTATTCTTAGCTCCAGATCATTAGGGCCATCCTCCATGGCCTTTAGTCACTGCGGTTGGATTCTTGATCAGTGAGTTCGGAATAATTTCCTTCTTTTCACCTACTCCTGCCTTCCCAACTCCCAACAGGCCTGCCGATGGTCCTCTCTAGAAAAGGCCTCTGCCCTCCACTCCCAGCACGTAGGGACATCCTGATCTAGTCAGGCCATTGATGAAGCAGATGACATCATACATTTTCAGAAGGTGAGGTTTAAAGAGGAACAAGAATGGAACCTGAGATAGGTTACTAACTGGTAATTTATTGGGAAATATATACTCACACGAGGAATCAGTAACCAGATTTGGCACTCAGATGCTTCCCAAAGCTGGCTGAACCCCAAAAGAGAGCAAACCCGGCTCTGCCTCGCCCTTTATCCTATCCTTTTCATACCTGTGACCAGCGGGTGTGGTCATCGGTGCAGGTGTTGGGATCTCTCCCTACAGAGGATGCTTTAATTGAAAAAGTCAAGACAAAAACACCAACAAAGACAGGTGATTTATCAGTACTCACTAGCTTAGTGTCCTAGCCCATTCCACAGGGCTACTACAGAGTACCACAGATGAGGCAATTTATAAAGAAAAGAAATGTAATTGGTTCACAGTTCTGGAGGCTCGGGCACATCGGGTGAAGTGAGGCAAAAAAATAACCAAGGATATCCTCAACTCTTTGTCACTGGGCTCATGTCCAGTGCATGATAATTTATCTTGATTTTGGGGTCAGAAAAAACATAGGAAAGGCTCCCCTAAAGATCCACCAGAAAAACCACATAGCCTCCTGTCAGGTCCAGATGTCAGGGCTGGAGGAAGGAGGAAGCAATAATCAAGTTATCAAGAAAAAAATAGTTATTCACAGTAAAACTGTGAAGGCCTTTGGTATAGAAGGATGGGTGTGAGCATGTTCAAGTTGAAACATTCAAGGATTCCTGAATTTCCTTTTTTTCAAAAGAACTATCTTTTATTTATTCTTTAACAATTTACACATGTTAATAGTGTATCTGTCTCATACCCATTCCCAACCATTACCTTATTTGCCCCCCAGGTCCCCTGTCCATCTCCCACTTCATATCTTCTCCCCGTCCTCCCCCTTTCTTTTGAGGCGACATCCCACTGTGTAATCCTGGCTAGACTGGAACTCTAAGTAGCCCAGGTTAGCTTTGATCTGCCTATCTCGGCTCCTAAGGCTGAGATTAAAGGTGTACACCACTATGTCCTGATTCCTGTTTTATATTTATGTGTATGAGTGTTTTGTCTGTCTGTATTTCTCTACACAACATGCATATAGTGGCCTGAGGCCAGACAGGGGAATCAGATCTCCTGGAACTGAAATTACAGATGGTTGTAAGCTACCAAAGGGGTGCTAGGATTTGAACCTGGGTCCCCTGGAAGAATAGCCAGTGCTCTTAACTGCTGAGCCATCTCTCCAGCCCATTTTTCTAACAAAAACAAACAAACAATAAGCAAATAAACAAAAAACCTGGGCTGTCAGCAGCTTAATGCTGCCTCTAAGTCCCCTGTAGAAGACTACATGTTCCTTCCTCTCCCTTGTAAAGCCTGAGCACTCATAGAAAGGAAATACACTAGTTTGCCTAGTTTGAGATTTGAGGATGCCATGTTTCAGTCTCTGGATAAATGGAGCACAAACTCATAGGTCTCTCTCCTTGCTGTTTCCCTAGAGTACATTTGGAAGGTTGCCAAGGGCTTTGAGGATTCAGGAAACCTGCCTGATTCTTTTGTGCCTTCTTTAAAAACGATTTAAAAGCAATTAAGGGGATGAGGGGAGGGCTCAGTTGATACAGCACTTACTGCATGTGGTGGTTTGAGAGAAAATGTCCCCCAAAGGGAGTGGCACTATTAGGAGGTGTGGCTTTGTTGGACTAGGTGTGGCCTTGTTGGAGGAAGTGTGTCACTATGGAGGCAGGCTTTGAGGTCTCATATATGCTCAAGCCACACCCACTATCTCAGACTACTTCCTGTGGCTTGCACAAGATGTAGAAACCTCAGCTACCTCTCCAGCACCATGTCTGCCAGCATGCCTCAATACTCCCAGCCACCATGATGATCCTGGACTGAACCTCTGAAACTGTAAGCTGCCACCTCAAATGTTTTCCTTTCCTGGTCATGGTGTCTCTTCACAGCAACAGAAACCCCAACTAAAACACTGCACAAGCATGAGGACTTAAACTCTACTCCCCGATTAAAAACCTGTGTGTGCAGATGTGCTATACATTTGTAATCCCAGCATGGAGGAGGCAGAAATGGGCAAATCCCTCGTCAGCTAACATAGCCTGACCAGCGGGTACCAGTCCAATGGTAGATCCCATCTCAAAAAATGAAGTAGACAGCAGCTCCTGAGGAACACTGACCTACACATGTGCGTGAACACACACACACACACACACACACACACACACACACACAATTAACATCCTCACTGAAGTTCAGAGGCCCGAATGTCAGGAACTGTGTTGTTCTAACCATCTAACCAGATGTCTCCTTTAACATCAGAGTGGCAACCCCTCTCTGCCTCCTGCTCAGATGGACCTGACTGTTCCAGAGGACAACCCTACAGACAGTGAGAACAGAATCACCCAGATCACACAAGAGATGGCCAAGGAGGTGCTCCTGATGGCTCAGAGCTTGAGGAAGAGAGGGCGAGTCCTGGTACTTGGTCTTCAACAGTCATGGTGGGTGGTGGGTGATTGGGCACCCTGTAGGGAAGTGGTGCCAATTTGGCCTCCCTAGACAGTGCTGGAAGGAAAGGTCACACTGAAGATCCAACCAGCACCCCATCTCTGTAAAATTCACTTCACTTCTCTCCTCCCCTCCTCTTTCTGGCTCGGCTACTCTGGTTTTATCCATTGCATCAGGGACGACAATTTTGTCTAATCTGTGATGTAGTAAAATTAGTAAAAATCAAGGAGTCATTCATCTTCCAGAACAATGAGTCAAAAGTGTTATTTATACCTTTTGAGCTTCACTTTTAAATTTCACTATCCCTCTGTGTGTGTGCATAGCCCAGGGAGGATACATGTGTATGAAGGTCGGGGGACATCTTTGTAGCATCAGTTCCTTCTGTTTTTGTGGGTTTCAAGCTCAGATTAAAAAGCTTTCAAAATGCCTGCACCCCTGGAGCCACCTCAGCCCACTATTTGCATCTTTTCAAGCTGACTTTTGGGACTCTGTCTCTATACCCATTAGGCCTTTAACTCAGGACCTTCTACATCAGTTTCTCAAGTGTCAGAATTACAGGTCCATGTGTTAATACACCTTGCTGCTTTTTAATATCCCCCAAAGAGAGTTAACAGAGAGGGCTGAGACCTCTTGAAAGCTAACCCTTTAAGGCTGGCACAGCCTGATTGGGGGGGGGGAGCTATTTTCTACTAGCTTCTAGAGGCTGACTTCCACTGTGAACCTATTCCCACTCTTTGTAACCCTCTTCTTGATTAAGCTGAGGCAAATATTGTTTGCTATCAACAGACCAATATGGAAAAAACTAAGAAAGAAATCCACATACTTTGTGTATGGACCGAAAGGAAGACACAAAATGGCAGGTAAAAAACTGCCAGTGTGGTTCTACTGGGCACAGATGGCTCTAAAATGCAAGACTGAGCCACAGGGGACCTGACTTTCCTATCCTGGGGCAGGACAGAGGGTCCAGGAGAAAAGGGAAGGACATCCCCTGGAGATATGTCTACAAGGACAAACCCAGAGCCTTCATCACACCAAGACTCAGACCTTTCATTGTTGGGTCCCTCCTTCCAGCTCCCCCAGCCAGTCAACATCTGGCTGAACCAGTGACCCCCAAGGTCACCAAAACAGGTGTGGCTTTCCAGAATGTATTTCTAAATCAGGTGTTTTGATTTAAATAGAACTCAGGTGTCTGTGGTGGCTTGTGACTAAGGACCTAGGGATGTGCAAACCCTGCACCCCTTGTGTTTCTGAAGAGCTGTACATTTGAAAGGAAAATCCAGGAACCATTTTAAGAGTGGGGCTTGCTTCTGGTAGGAAGTGGCTGGCTATGCACAATTCACCTGAGTTCCCCAATCACACATCCTGGTCGAAATGCCAATTGTAATCGACATTTCCTGTCCCAACTGCCCAGTCTCAAATAACTGACTGACTCAGAGGCTGAATATGAATTATGAGTGCTTGGCCAATAGTTTAGGCTTATTACTAGCTAACTCTTACACTTAAATTAACCCATACTCCTTATTTACACCCTGCCACGTGGCAGTACCTTTATTAGCATGGCACGCTCATCTCCTGATCCCTATGCATCTGCCTGGCAATTCTCTGACTCTGCCCTTCTCCTTCCTGTGATCCTACTCTGGAGCCCTCCTCTACTTCCTGCCTGGCTACTGGCCAATTAGCATTTTATTAAACCAATTAGAGTGACAAATCTTTACAGTGTACAAGAGGATTAGTCCACAGCAGCCTATCTTTTTTTTTTTTTTAAAGAACCAAGTATTATGCTCTTGAGTGAAATAGAAAAAAAGACAGAAAATATCTAGTTTGGACTGGGGTTATTTGGTAGAGCTCATCAGGTAGAGCCCTTACCTAGTATGCACAAGGCCTAGATTTAACCTAAGCACCACATGAGCCCAGCACTCTCAAGCTGGAGATAGGACAATCAGGAGTTCAAAGCCATCCTCAGCTATACAATGAGGTCAGCCTGGGATGTGTGAGCCTAGGAGGCTAGGTTTTTCTGGCCTTCTGCAGTCCCCATAGAAGGAAGGAGATTGTTCATTGTTTGGTCAGGTTCTTTCTAACCCAAGAGAAAGCCCTTAGAGTTGGCTCATGAGATGGTGGCTTCAGCTAAAATATACTCATTTCCAGGGGCAGAAATAAATTGAGTCAAGAAAGCTTGGGACAAGCATTGTAATTTGTCCCTGATGTCTCAGGGGAAACCTGTGAAGGCAGCGTTTGCCTACATCTAACATTTCCATCTCTGATATAGACCAAAGATCAGCTCATTGCTTCAGCCAGAAAAATCTCAGCTTCCGGAAAGGACATTGCCAGACTCGTTCAAATCATTGCTAAGAACTGCATAGACCAGAGATGCTCCCAGGAGCTTCTGTGTATGGTGGAACAGATTCAAACCCTGAGCAGCCAGCTCAGCATCATCTCCAGGTAGGAAGCAACTTGCAGGAGAATGGCTAAGCTTTTGTGAGACCCAGTGGGGATGGAGGGCGCGTTATTTTTATGTTTACACTAGCCCCTAGAGTTTACACTGGCCCCTCTCCCATTCAGAACACAGGCCCTTACTTCATAGCGTTGCTGGACTCACAACACTTCAGGGGTAGCTGGCCTTTGACACAAGTGACTGACGCCCTTTCTGAAGGGGAGGGAGGTTTCACAGAATAGGGACAGGGATGTGTGGTGCCAATACCTACTTTGAGATAAATTCACTTCCTCTGTAAGAGATCCTAGATCCCAGTACCAGGAAGTCTGTTAGCAAGGGACTCATGTAGCAGCTAGATTTTTACATTCTTTTTTTTTTTTAAGATTTTATTTATTTATTATGTATACAACATTCTGCTTCCATGTATATCTGCACACCAGAAGAGGGCACCAGATCTCATAACGGATGGTTGTGAGCCACCATGTGGTTGCTGGGAATTGAACTCAGGATCTCTGGAAGAGCAGTCAGTGCTCTTAACCTTTGAGCCATCTCTCCAGCCCCCGATTCTTACATTCTTATGGTGAGAATAGAAATAACATTGCACAAACTAGAATGGTTTTACATTTATTTGTTTATTCATTTATTTAGTGTATACACAAGCACATCCATGCCATGTGGAAGTCAAGAGAACAACTTGTAGGATGGTTCAGTGGTTAAGAGAACTAGCTGCTCTTCCAGAGAACTGAGGTTTGATTCCCAGCGCTTGTATGGTGGCCCACAACTGTAACTCCAGTTGCTGGTGATTGGCACTTTCTTCTGACCTTCATGGACACCAGGCACACATGTGGTACATATGTATACATGCAGGAAAAACACTAATACCTATGAAAACAAATCTTTAAAAAATAATAAAACTTAGCAACTGCTCTCCAGGAAATACCATTTCTGATGCATGACCATCTCAAAATTAGCTGCCAATATTTTTTTTCCATTTAAGACACAGACATAAAAATGACCACCACAAACAAATCAGTTTCATAATCAAAATTCGACCCCCTAGACACAAGAGGCATGGTGCCAAGCAGGGAGGGCTACACAAAAAAACTTACCTGTGTCAACTGACAAAAGGAGCTAGGGGGAAACAGGCAAAAGCATTCATTGTGATTCTCATGGGAATGAGTGGGTATGGCCAAATAAGCAGGCTAAGCATCGTAGGACTGATTGTTCTGAGTTCAGAAGGTGTGTTTGCAGGTAAGCCATTTGCTCTTTCTGGTAACTGGGAAGCCCTAGAAGAGGCAGTCCCTTCAACATTAGCCACACCCCGCATACAGTTCTGTTCAGAATTTATTCTTTCATGTTTAATGACAGTTGGCATCTGTTCTGTGACCTCTATCCAGTAATTTCCATTAACAACATACTCTTTTTTTTTTGTTTTCATTATAGATGCTATATGACTCACATGTTCTTGGCATTAAAATACATTTTTCATTTAAAAATGCTAAATTAAGCCCTCAGAATCGTCCTCCCCAGGGACTGTGGTGACAACTCAGTTGGTAAAGTGCTTGCCTGGCACGTGCATGAGACTTGAGTTTGATTCCTATCTAAGAGCTGAGTGTGGTGGTATATAGGTCTAACACCAGGGCTGAGGGCTTGCTGCTATAGCCACACCTGTAAGCTCCAAGTTCAGCAAAAGACACTGTCTCCAAAAAGGTGGGGGGAGGGTGGGGTGACAGTTGAGGAAAACACTTTACATTGTTCTCTGGCACATGCAAGCACACACACACACACACACACACACACACACACACACACACACACCCCTTTCCTCTGAGTATTCCCACCAAAGTATCTCAGCTTCCTATATGAGGTTTCCATTGTAAATGCTGCTATTCATTGGCAATTGCTTCCTTACCTGGGATAAAGACTTCTTTCTTCCCCGATGCCCCCAGTGTAAAGGCCTCCCTCGAAAGAAGCAAGTCCTCTGAAGAGCTCCTTGTGGACAATGCACAGGGGCTCCTCCAGGCCGTCTCCAAGACTGTGCGGGCTTCGGAAGCTGCCTGTCTTCGGGTGAGTGCCACAGGGACCTGGCAAAAGTGGCCACAAGGATACCTTCTCTTAGCTCCTCAACTCTGTTCCTTCCCTAAACCTCACTTTCTGTGCGTTTGATTTCCCTGACTCCATTAGCCTGGCTTTAATCGGATCACTTTAGCCGCAAATCTGCAGGTGAGCTGGCCATAGCATTCTGACACCTTTTGCTTCATTTCCTTCTGTTTCTGGGATTTCCTTTTGTTTGTCTAGTTAGCTGAATGAAGTTTTTGTTTTTGAGATAAGATCATAGATAGCCCAGTATGTAGCTCAGTCTGACCTTTAAAACTCAGGATCGTTTTGCCCTGGCCTCCTGAGTTGTAAGTGTATACTACCATGCCTAGATCTGTTTTTCCTCTTTTGTAGGATTTATTTTTTTAATCTGTGCATTTTTGCCCACATTTCAATTAAAGGTGTGAATATATTAATCATAGTTTCCATTGGAAACTTGACATTACATGTAGATCTATGAACACTAAGTAAATATTATTTACATATATATATTCATGTCTTCCAGGCACCTAGTTTGGGAGGTGAGTCAGTATTGTCAGGCTTGGCCTGAGTTGGGTTTTTATTGTTGCAATCACTGTGAGGGTATTAGGCTTGCTAGCCTTAATTTGTGTTTTGTTTACTGACCTTTCCTCAATGATCAAAGGCTTTATTAAAAAAATTTTTTTTTTAAAAAAGGGATATGTGACAGGGGTTGCTCCCTTCCCCAAAGCCTGCATCTCAGAGAGGTGTTCTCAGTCCTCTATCCCAACCTGAGCCTTTCTCAGGAGCATCAGGAGAGGTCTTAGACAGAGAACCCCGAGTACACGTGGCCCTTTCTTGTGGATGGGCACTGGATCACACTAATCTAATGTGGACATTAACAATCGTTAATTTTACTTCTCAGTCCTAGAGGTCAAAGTGTACCCTGAAGATACTCTAGTGCTGAGCCACATCCATAGCCCTTTAAAAACTTTCCCCCAAACCTTATATTCAATTACACGGCTGCCCCGGCTCCCTCCAGGCTGAGTCTTGTGCAAACCAGTTCTATTCTCATCTCTCCTCAGACATGTCTGTTTTCCAATACATCTGAAACTGGAGAAGTTCAAACTTCTAGACTCCAATACAGTCCAGAAAAGCACAGTCATGTGTATTAACTGACTGTCTCACTGGGGTGAAAGCAATACTTGTCTGGCTTCCCATATCTTAAACACCAGCTTTAAATGGACACTGTTGGCATGCCTAAAAGAACACCTCCCTGGGTGTGATGCAGGACAGTGGGGGCAGATGCAGTAGGATCTGAAGCCCAAGATTTTCTTTAGATACACAGAAAACTGGAGGCCAGCCTGTCTCAAAGCAAAACAAAAGCCAAAGCAAAAATAGATTAAATAAAAAAAATATATAAGAGTTTGCGTAGGGCCTTTCTGTGTGTGGTCTGCCTCTGTTCTCGTTACTTTTTCCCAGGCCCAGCTGCTTCTTGTTCAGACCTGACTTAAATCCTACCTCCTCTGAAGGGATGAAACACCTCCACTGTACAGACGCCTCTTGACTCCTGAGGGAGACATGCCCCTATAAACCCACCATAAGTTGAAAATACAGTTAAGTCATAAATGCATTTAAGGCCGGACATGGTAACTCATACCTGTAATCCCAGCAGCAGGCAGGAAGCTGAGGCAGGAAGACTGGAGGCTAGCCTGGGTTACATAGTGATGAGACCTTGTCTCAAAAAAGGGAAAATGCTGTGGGACAATACTGTTGTACACTGCCAAGATTTGTCACTTGAATTGGTTTAATAAAACGCTGATTGGCCAGGCAGGAAGTATAGGCGGGGTGACCAGACTAGAAGAATTCTGGGAAGAGGAAGGGTGGAGTCAGCAGTCACCAGCCAGACCCAGAGGGAGCAAGATGAGAATGTTGCATTGAGTAAAGGAACCAAGCTACATGGCTAAACGTAGATAAGAAGTATGGGTTAATTTAAACATAAGAGCTAGTTAGTAATAAGCCTGAGCTATCAGCCAAACATTTATTTATTTTGGATACTTGATTTTTTTTTATAAAGAAGCCATAAATACACACTGGAAAAAAAGACTATCTTCAAAAAATGGTGCATATCAAACTGGATGTCTACATGTAGAAGAATTTAATAGTGAAGACGGAGTTTCTTTCCCACCTGTTCTGAAGCTGATTAGCCCAAATAAGCACACAGAGACATTAATTATAAACTGTTTGGCCGATGGGTCAGGCTTCTTATTGGCTAGCTATCTCTCAATTATTATTTTTTTAAAAGACAGACTTTATTTATTTATTATGTCTTCTGCCTGCATGCCAGCAGAGGACACTAGATCTCATTCGAAGATGGTTGCAAGCCACCATGTGGTTGCTGGGAATTGAACTCAAGACCTCTGGAAGAACAGTCAGTACTCTTAACCGCTGAGCCATCTCTCCAGCCCCGCTATCTCTCAATTATTAACTCATTTCTATTAAACTATGTACGAGGCAGTGGCTTACCCATAATCTGGCATGTTACTCTTTTGGCAGCATGCCAGCCAAACATTTATAATTAACATAAGCCTCCTGTGTGGTAATATGGGAAGCAGCTGTGGGATGGGGCAGGCCAGAAACTCAACTCCAACCACAGGAAGAGAAGAAGGAAAAAGATAAGCAAAAAATAAAAGACACATTAATAATTTAATCTAATTCTTAAAATTACTTATTTTATATTTTATGTGTATGAATGCATTGCCTGCATGTGTGTCTGTGTACCATATGTGTGCAGTGCTCTCAGAGGCCAGAAGGGGGTGCCAGATACTCCTGGAACTGGAGCTACAAATGACTGTGAGCCTGCATGTGGAATTGAACCCAGGCATTCTAGAATTGCAGCCACTTAACTACTCTTAACTGCCTAGCCATGTCTTCAAGCCCTCACACCTAATAGTAATACATTAAGACACGATCATAGTTCAAAGCTGAAAGATTGTAAATTGATAATCATGGATCAGGGACTATCTGTAATGTAAATCATATCCAATTTCCTCTGTTTTAGTTCTTTGTGTGGGAGATGCAGAGGAAGAATGGGGGTGGATAGGGAAAATATTTTTTTTAATGTGAGTGGGTATTTTGGCCTGCATATATGTCTGTGTCCACATGTGTGCTTGGTACCGGAAGAGAACACTGGATCCTCTGGAACAGGAGTTAGAGGTGGTTGTGAGATGCCACATGGGTGCTGGGAACTGGACCTGGGTCCTTGGGAAGAGCAGCCAATGCTCTTAACTGCTGAGAAAGAATTGAAAATAATTGGCTGTGTTCTCAGGACATTTGTTCTGCTTTTCATCCCCTTTTTCTACCCCCTTCACACATGATACTTTGATGCTGTAAAATGAGAGCTGTGACACCAGAAAGGCAGCCCTAACCCTCTAGAAGGAAACCACACAAGAGCAAGCTCCAAACTGGCGGCCCTGGAAACATGGCAGCTGCCCCCGGAATTGAGCTTGGTTACCCTTTCGATCCTGCAGGGTTTGAGATTGCCATCCTCAGATCCAGAGGAGCTGGAGGTTGCTGCCCTCTGCACACAGTGGAAGAGGAAACTACTCCAACATCGACATCAAGAAACCTCAAGTGAAGACTGTGATGAGCTGGGCTTACGAAAAACAAGCACGAGGAACCTCCTAGTATTGGCGGCCCTGGTTCAACAAGCATAATAAAAGCTGAGGCATATTCTCCAAGTCACCCTGTGTTGACCAGTGATTTGGCAGCTAAGCATGCCTCTTGGGCTGAGCCTGAGACACCGGTCTTTGTGGCCAGGGCTTGTGCTTTTACAGAGCTTCCCTTACAGCATTCCTGGCTAAGAACATGGTGCACTGATGGAAATTCAACAGGGAACGCTCCTGTCTGTATGTGACATACGCAGAGGGGTTTTATAAAGAGCAGCACAGACAGAAGATGAATGCACTTTGAAGAGAATCATGCCCTTTTTTGTTTAATTGTCCATCCATTCTTTCACTCTGTTCTGATCATTCTGTTTTTTAAAACCACTTTATTAATTCACACATCATAGCATCCATACATTTAAAATATATCTTTGTTTTTAATGCTCACAGATTTATGCAAGCATCAGCACAGTCAGCTTAGAATAGTTTAGTCATTCCTGAGAGAAACCCTTCAGTGGTCTCCTTTTGCCCTAGCCTAGTAGCTGTTAATTACTTTATTTTATAGATTTTCCTAGACTGAACACTTCCTATAACTAGAATAATATAAGTGGTTTTTGTGACTGGCTTACATTGTTTAGCATAGCTTTTGAAAGACCATTTATGGGGAGAGGGAAAGAAAATGTTTAGCTCAATTTAAAAAAAAAAAGAAAGAAAACGGGCTGGGTGGTGGTGGTGCATGCCTTTAATCCCAGCACTCGGGAGGCAGAGGCAGGAGGATCTCTGTGAGTTCAAGACCAGCCTGGTCTACAAGAGCTAGTTCCAGGACAGCCTCCAAAGCCACAAAAAAAGGGGCGGGGGAGGAAGAGTCCATTTGGATTGGTACTTCATTTCTTTCTACCAAGTATTTCCATTGTATGAACATACCACACTTACCTATTCACCAATGGCTGGACATTTGAGTTATTTCCAATTTCAACTATTCTGAGTAAAACTGTTATTGAGCTTATTGGAATGGTGTTGTGGATAATATTTCTGCATTCTCTTAGTCTGTCAAATGTATAATTACGTCACATCTTCCAGTTCCCATATTGTTAATTTGTGCACTGATCCCCTCACCCATTATTATGGCTAGTGGTTCGTTAATTTTATTAAACTTCTCAAACAAACACGTTTTGGTTTTGTAGATTTTCTTATATTGTTTTATTTTCTACCTCAGTCATAGCTGTTTAAGGCAGAAGGATAAGCCTTGTTATTTCCTGACAACCTGGGCAGAGGTGTGGCTTGATGTGTAGGCCAAGTGAGAGTAGAACTGAGGCTAAACAAAACAGGAGGAAAGTCACCAACCGCCACACCCTCTGTAGATCCTACGAGCTCTGATACTGATCACCCAACAAGATTTGCCCACTGCTGTAATAGTGGCATGTGTGTTCTCCAAGTGACCAATTATATCCTGAATGGATTTGAGGACTCTTCTACAGGATGGAATATGTGTCTGGTATTGCAGGCCTGTTATGTCTGTGGGTCACAGGCCCTTTAAGTCATATACTACTGATGTTTTGCCAACTTGTAGCTAAACTGCCTTGTAAATATTTGTGTTTACATCCATAGACTAGTGCCTTAGCCTTGATCAGAAAAATCTATTTTGGCAGTGGACAATGTTTAAAGCAGGGATTCATAATAGCTAAAGTGTTGGAACTAAGTGACTGCTGAGTGCTGGCCCTAAGGGGTACGTACATCCATGTCACCTTCTCTGAGGCCCAAGGAACATCAAGCAAATGGGGTAGAAGGACTAAGGAAACCAAGCATGGGGAAAGTGTGGTGGGGTACTAAATATGTGTTCTGAATATGACACAGCCATTACACCAACTCGGCAAGATCAGCTGACCAGTGAGCTCCAGGGATCCTCCTGCCTCTTCCTCCTTGGCGTTAGGATTATAGGTGTGCCTTCATGCCTCCTTTTTCACATGGGTGCTGTGGATCTGAATTCAGGTTCCCATGCCTGTACAGTGTTGAGCCAACTTCCCAGACCTTCAGTTGTTTCTAAGCAAATGATTTTTCATCTTGAAGATGTGTCATGTGATACTCAGTTAAAGCCTGAGTGGCATTGCTCATGCACAAGAGAGGAACCAGGAGAAGACTATGCTGACTCTCAACGAAGCAGTTTCTCATGATGAGATTAATTGTAGGCTCTCATACGGCAATGAGCACTTGGCCACTGAACAGACTAGGACAGAAACCAGAAACCATCTTATGATGTTCCCTGACCTTGAAGGGTTGCTGAGCATCTCCTGCTGCAGTGAGATCCCGTTTTGACCCTAATGAGCTCCTGCAGTTCATTTTCTAGCAACCTGTCAGATTCACATATTCTAGGCATAGTCAACCTATAGACTATGCGCTGTGAACATCCCAGGGTAGATAGGAATGCAGCCCCAAAAGATCACCAAGTCTGGATATCTTGCCTCCTGCAGGAGCCACTAGATGACCTGGCTTATGAAGCCCTATGGAAACTTGAATAATGGATCATGCTGAGCCCCTTTCCTAATGAGGTTGCTGGGGCATCGTATGCAGTGTAAGCAATGTAAAAATGTTTTAAATTTTGGCAAATCGATATACAAATGACTACTTGTTGACTGTCATTATATATACATGGAAGTATACTGCTTCTTATAAAACTGGTCTCCTATTTTAACTTCCCTCTTAAGCGCCTGGAAGAAAAACTGTAAAATGGAGGTAGGTGACAGCTTCTTACCTGAAATAAATGAGTGACCACATTCTCTTTTTTGTTGACTTAAAAAGCATGTAAGATGTCAAAGTGCATCACTGACAACTCCAAGACATGGTGATGACAAGGGAGGTCCAGGGAAAATTTGCTCTTGTTTAAAAATTCAGCCTCTATATGTTTATTTCTTTATAATAAATTATTATGGATAAAATCTCTTTGACAAGATATTGTCTGTTTCTATTGCTGTGAAGACACCATGACCATGGTAGCTCTTAGAAAGGAAACATTTAATTGAGGGAGATTGCTTACAGCTTCAGAGGTTCAGTCCTTTATCTTCATGATGGGGAGCATGGCAGTGCGCAGGCAGACGTGGTGCTGGAGATAGCTGAGAATCCTACATCTTGCAGGCAACAGGAAATTGACTGACACACTGGGCAGTATCCTTTGAGGAAACCTGAAAGCCCACCCCCAAAGTGATATACTTCCTCCAACAAGGCCACACCCACTCCAACAAAGCCACACCTCCTAATAGTGCCACTCCCTATGAGATTATGCGGGCCAATTACATTCAAACTACCACACTAACAAAATGCAAATTTTACTATTCCTTCCAACCTTAATTTTCTTATGAAGATACTCAAATCTACAGTGAACGGCCAGTGACAGTTCTTGCCTGGTGTGCTGAGGTTCTAGGTTCCATCTCTAACACTGAAAGAAAACTAAAGTTGTTTGTATAAAATCAATAGAGAGAAATATGGGGGACTGACCACTTGAAGAACTAATACTTTTAATGCATTAGTACTATATTTTCATCCTTTCTTACACATTTTACACTTAAAACACAAACAACTCGTGACTTAATCGGGTGGTCTCATGCCCACCTGAGCCAGGATCTCTGTTGTTTCAGAACCGATGACTTTTATACTAAATTGATGCCCACTTCATCCTCACATGCTATTTCAGCAGACATACAGCATGGCCCCAGGAGCAAAGTAATTGTTGGCTTCCATCAGCATCCATCCTGCATACTTTGGGCAAGTCAGATCCTTACGACAATCTACAAATCAGTACACCTCTATGGCAGAGAAGTTCTCTATTTCTTACATGCTAATATTTAAAGACTGGCTAACCTGGTGCGTTAATATTCTTTGAAACAACTTCTCAGCTAATTCTCTTACAATTTCAGTGCACATCTAAAGTATCATAAAATTGGTAAAGCACACAGGTCACCCATGGTTGTTCTGGAACAATCCTGAATAACTTAATAACCCCGATAGGAATGCAGGGATTATATCTGTGATGTACAGAAAGCAATTTTGTATTCACAAAGATGAAACAAAAGCAGATAAGAAACTAGATGTTGCTCAGAAATCAATTCAGAACAAGAATGTACATTCCTTTGACCTTAAACTTTGAGACCTTCAACAGTTCTGTCCTTCCAGCCCCATAACTATTATTCAGTTTAAATAAGACTTAACTACTCAACTGTTCTCCCACTCTTAAACAGGGCTAGCAGGAGCACTAAGGTCTAGAATACAAAATCAAGCTAAAAGACAAAAAAACTGAAGCTACATCATCCAATAATGTGGCTCTTTTCACTACAGCCCAGTTTTGGGGTTTCAAGTACATGTATTGTCAAACTTGAAACTAAGATCAAATATAAAATAGCCTTTAGGGCACTAGCTAATAGACTTCTAAGAATGAGTGTGATGGTTTGAATAATAATGGCCCCTGTAGGCTCATATATTTAATTCTTCCTCATCAGGGAGTGGCACTACTTGAGAAGGATTAGGAGGTGTGGCCTTGTTGAAGGAAGTGTGTCACTGGGAGTGGGCTTTGAGGTTTCAAAAGCCTGTGCTGAGCCCACTTTCTCTCTCTCGGCCTACAGATCAGGATGTCTCTCTCAGCTTTTGTTCTGTCCCCTTGAGCACTGCCATGCTCCCAGCATACTTCCCACCATGCTGATAATGGACTAAATCTCTGAAACTAGAAGCAAGCCCCCAGTTAAATGCTGTATATTGTAAGAGTGGTCTTGGTCATGGTGTTTCTTCACAACAATGGAACAGAAGTGACTAAGAAAATGAAATGAGTAAACAAATATTTCATCATTGGACTTAATAACTTTTAAATCCTACTTTTAAATTACTCATCTAACTTCCCTTTCAGTAATTTAAAAAACTGAGCTTTCATTAAGAATTCCATGTTTAACAAGTCAAATTATCTTTCTTGTAAATTTAGAATTACTACTAATTCAACAATAAGGATAAATGCATGAGTGTAACTAAAGAGTTGTTGCAATTTTTGATTAACTAAAATTTAGATATTTTATTGGCTTTTTAAAAAATCCAATAAAAGAGGAAATTGTACTATTTTGGGATACATTTTTTGTCAGTTTTGTCTGTTTTACTCACTTTTCAATTAACAGTAAAGTTCATTTGAATAGTAAATCAAAAAATAGTTTCTATGGTGGCTTAAACAGTATCTTTAATGCTATCCTGTTATCCAGAGCCATTTCATGCAACAAACAGAAACAAAAACATTTGTTGTGAACTGGGAAAATTGCTTCTGTGGGGGCTCTCTTTAACTAAGTTTAGAGTTATTACTTCCTTTGTCTCACAAAAGCTTTTCCTTTTCAAGCAATTTATTGGCATCATCCCAACAAAATATTGCCATAAACCAGAAGTTCCAGAGATCATGCCAGTGTAACACTGTGAGTTATGAGTTGTATCATAAAACACAGGTGCCATTGCTATACATGTCAGTGAATATACAAGAATGAATACAAGTTACTTTTCATAAAATACAATTTCTAATTAATTTAGAGTTCTAAGCTATGAAGACATGAAATAATTAAAACACAGGTGGTCTCTGTTATAAAACCAGTCATGTGAGATCTAAAAGACTGTTTATTGGTACCATATACAGTGGAATATACCTATCATCTCAGTGGGTGTTTTTGCTATGCAAGAAAAAATATAGAATCTAGACATTTGAAACATTATCAGCTTAATAATTACTACAGTCTCACTTTGAAAATTCTGTTAAAAATTGCCACAGTCATGATGAGCACAATTATTGCAGTTACATCATTTGAAAGAGATAAAAATTATGCTGCTAAAGACAAAACACTGAAATACATAAATATCACAATGTGATAGAGCAATAAAATCATAACTATTTAATATGAAAAATTAAATTTTAAAAGTTCTGTTAGAGAACCTGGAAATTTTTTTTACTATAGCAAAACACTGTATTTATATTCCTTCAGCTTCTATGATACAGTGTTCAATAAAATACTTTTAAAAGATACAACATTCAAGTGCTTCATGTACACAAACAGTGTTGCCAATGCTAATAAAGTGATGCCCTTAAACATGAGCTGAGCTAATTATGGTTTTAAATGTTTTCACCTTGCATTTTACTTAGCAGTTGGTGTTACAAACTAATCGGTTTTGTGCTGGCAAGAGGATCCTAGTTAAAATACTGATTCTCAAAATTAATGCTTATCATATTGCTTGAAACTAAACAACCATACAAAAGTGGTAACTGTTAACCTAAACATTGATTACGAAAGACAACTGGCATATATACATATATACACTCAAGCTGACTGTTGAGTTCATGATGGTTCACTTACAATAAAAGTACTTTTACTAATGCTCACATGATATGTATTTCTATACTACAGTCTCTTGAAGTTATAAAAATATTATATAAAATACCACAGACTTTAGAGGATGTAAGTTCATGTGGTTCTGATACTAGCAGCTGAAAATGTTTATAATTTAAAAAATAAATAAACTATAGAGGTAAACCAGTTACAAAACAGCAGAGAACTGTGACAGCGTGAGAAGAGCTTAATTACACAACAGCTAACAAAATGGTGACGCGGTTGGATCAAATGTCTTAAAAACCTCTTTCAGAGATTTGTCATCTGTTTCTCTACTTGGATCATCACCTGGGGTGGGGCTTGCCTGTTCTGGCTCTCTTGCCTGCCTTGGATCACTGTATGGAGGTCTAATTAAGCCTGTTAAGGCCTGAATAGGAAGACTATGCACAGCGGGGACCTGAACCTTATCCGCACTCCTCAGAGTATCTGCCTGCGTGTCGACTGGCCCCTCACCTGGGACGTCCGAGTCTGCAGGAGTTTTCTGTAGGATCACTTCTCCAGGGGAAGGCTCATTTTTATCACTACTCTTTGAACCACTTTTTTCCTGGTTCTCTGCATTTTCTTCTGAAGAAATGGTAGTTAGCTCTGATGAAGGCAATGAACCCTTCTCCCTAGGATCGTACAAACTAATGCTAGTAAGAACTGAACTTGAAGTTCCCAGTGGGAGGCCAGCTGAAGAGAGTTTGGGGGCATATGGAGGAAGAGCCACAGGACCAGCATTGATAGGTGATGCTATTGATGACTGTGACAAACCAGGGTTTGATCTGGCTAGGTTTGGGCCACTCTTTGATACATGTGAGTCCTTTATAGCTGCTTGATGTGACTCTGTATTGGGCAGTCTGTGAAGCCTAGGATCAAAATTCTTTTGCAGCCTAGGGTCTCCTAATTTACCCCCTGAACTATGTAAGTCTCCACACTGTTCTAAGTAGCCCTCTCTCTGTGTTATATTCATTTTGGCTGCTGATTTTGGATCAAGGGACAGGGCACTTTGATGATCACTTTTTGTATTCCATAATCTACTGAGCCTCTGGTCAGCTATAAGTGGAGGCAGAGGTAAATTGATTGAAGATACTGGATCGGGTTTAGGTAAAGGAACCGGAAGTAAGTCCTCTGGAGCCCACACGATGTGTTTTGCAAAGTTGGGTTTGGTTAGGATAATGTCCATTTTAATGTGACTGAATTGTCTTAACTGTGACCGTGGATCCTGGAGTACTACTCCAGGTGAAGAATCCAAAGGTATTAAGAAGGCTTTCTCTCTCAGTTCTCTTTCTGTATCTTCATCATCGTCATCTCTGCTTTTGGGTTTACGATTCCCACCAGCATTTGCAGGATGTAAATCAAACTTTGCTCCACTAGCAGAAGCGCCTCCAGGAGCACTTCCATTCCCTCTGAATTTCCTGGGATCCCACGCAAGTCTAAGGTCCACTGGGACAGACTCATGAGGCTTCCTAATATCTTGCCTTGGGACAGTCCGTAGCCTTGGGTCAACCACCTGACTCCCTTTCCTCTTCTCTTTAGCAAGTCTTGGATCAGTAGGAATGCCGAGCTCTGTGGGAGTGTGCTGCTGACTTCGTAGAGACCCTGTTTGTTTCTGTAATGTTCTCAGTATTGACTTGACACCACTTCCTTCCTCCTCTTCACTACTGGAGTACCAGTTAACTGTATCATCTAAATAAAGACAGAAGCTTGTGGTTAAAAACAAACTGTTCATATGTGACCTTAATTAAGACTAAAAGCAATACTATTTCCGAACTTAGTATAGTCACTATAAGGGATCCCCACCTACTCGGCTACATGGACTCTTGCTCTGAACAGCAGTATCAATTTCTCTACTCCTAGTAACAAACATTTAGACAGTTTCAAGTGTGTTCTCAATGTTCAGTATGAAAATAGAAGAGCTGGTCCTGCACCAACTAGTTTTGAGTACATGTACAGTAAGGCAAATTGTGACTTAGGAAGACTACTTTATCTGCTGTTGTAGGGATTTGGCCGTTTGGCCTAATGACCAATTTCTAAAGAATAAAGAGGGATATGGTATAGAAATGATGGGGAGAGGGGTAGATTATTATGATAAAAAGAAGAAGAGTAGATTACTGAATCTATTTTTACCCCAAAAGACAACTGTCAATCTCAAAATATTTTACATTGGTATGGATTTTGGTTTATTAATACAAATTTAAGGTCAATTTTGTTATACTGTATGTATGCATATTTCTACTCTTGTTTAAGGTATTATGTGTCTATGCAGCTCATTTAAAAATGTAATGTATAGTTAAGAAATACAAATTAATAGTCATCTATAATAGTCAAACTTATAGTCATGTTAGGTTTTCTAAATATGCAGAGATATATTTCAGATGGAATCTTTAAACACTTCAAAGAACTACAAAATATGGCATTTATATGTTTTTAAGAACTTAAACTTTTCTAATGGGTGGTGATGGTGGTGGCACATGCCACCTTTAATCCCAGCACTTGGGAGGCAGAGGCAGGTGGATCTATGTGAGTTTGAGACCAGTCTGGTTTACAAGAGCTAGTTCCAGGACAGACTCCAAAGCCACAGAGAAACCCTGTCTCGAAAAACCAAAAAAAAAAAAAAAAACCAAAAAACTTAGATTTTTCTAAACAGTGAACATTGAAGAAGCTCCTTATGGAATTTGCTTTCAATGTGGCAAGGCTAGCTAGCAATTTGGGCATGAAGGTGCTCTCGCCTGGACGGTTCGAAGTATATTGTATAAACTGGACATGCAGGACCCACAGGAAATGACTGCTCAACTTTGTCAAAACAAGGCGGGTCCTTCAGGGTTCCTGCTTCACAGAAGAAACTGCCAGACAAACTGCAGTACATAGAGGAAACCGACAGACAAATCGCCAACATAGGCGGGACAGTCTTTCAAATTTCCTGTTTCAATAAAAAGTCTGCCAGATACTACAGGCCTGTAGGCTGAAGGTGGATGCCCCAATATTACAGAAGAAATTTGGTTGACTGTCCAGGCAGCCAGATGTCTCTGCCATTTCTAGAGTTTTGGAAGTTGCTTGCAATGCACTTCCTGTTTACTCAGGAAATACCATATCCTTTTGGGGTCTTTGATGGAGTTGAAGACTAGATAGTTATAATTATAGTTTTCCTTAGTTATGACAAAAGATAAATTAGATATGAAACTTTAGACTCACAAAGATAGGATAGTTGATACAGTAAGTATTTCCATTAATTTTGCCAAATACAAGTAGACTAAATACTGTACCTATAACTCCTGCTCGATAATGGTTTTGTTACATGTAATTTTACTATATTAAGTTAAAACCTTCCTTTTTGATCACATATAAAGGGGAAACGACATGGGATGTCTTTCTGTACACTGTCAATATGTGTTGCTCTCATTGGTTGATAAAGATGCTTTGGCCTATGACAAGACAGGATACAGTCAGGCAGGAAATCCAAACAGAGATACAGGAGAAGAAGGGCAAAGGTCTGAGAGGTGTCATCCAGTCACCCAAGGAGCAACATGCCAGAGCACTACCAGTAAGCCACAGGCCACAGGCAATACACAAGATTAATAGGAATGGATTAATTTAAATGTAAAAGTTGGATAGTAATAAGCCTGAGCCATCGGCCAAACATTTATAATTAATATTAAGTCTCTGAGTGATTATTTAGAAATGGCTGCAAGATGTGAGGGACAGAAAAGCCTCCAGTAACAATCGCCATCTTTTTTTATGCTTGTGTATAAATATAACCGATGCAACTGTTATTTAAAGCCTGTCATTGAAGCCAGAAACAGTTCTAAGATGAGGACTACAAGGTAAACTGGAAGGGGATGGTGCAGAGGAACTCATTTCACATCTTAACCTATTTCAAAAGTTAAGAAGCTATTAAACCTTCTTCCTTGCTTGATGCTCTATGAGACTGGGCACCAGCTGGTTCTTCATCTTCTTGGTATCTCTGAGTCAATCGGATGAAAAGAGCTCTCTGCACTGCAGGAGGGAGCCCTGAAGTAGGCAGAGGGCAGTGACCTGTCACATTGCTGCTGATGTCAGGCCCACTCCCAAGGTTAGGTGAGTCATGAGCAATGGGAGGCTGCTGCTGTGCAAATTCTTCATGCCACAGCTCATCTACAGATACAACAGAAGAGAGACACTGTGAGCTCACACCCCACTCAAGTGGAAGAGACTGAATCTTTCCTAATCATCACACTGGATTCCTAAGTTGTTGTATAATTAAATATTTAAAAAAATTTAAAATTCTGTTGTTTCAAATTTTGTGTTTTTAAATTGTCAAAAAGTTTATTGCATCAAAAGTTAAAAGTTTTGTTTCTATAATTTTGAGAAATTGAAAACATTTCAAGGTTTCAATTTTATCAATTTTACTTAACTTAAAAATGCATGTTTTTAATGGAAAGCAAGTCTAAATATTTTAAATTAGAAACTGTTGTTTACAACTTACCAGCACAGTTATCAGGTGGCTGAAAATTATGTGCAGCATTCTGTGAATAATAATCATCATAAAACTCAGCTGGGGCTTGCAAGGACTCAGAGTCGGTGGGAAGCTGCATATCTCCAGGCATTTGCTGGTACAATGAAGCTGGAGAGCGGTGATTCTCTCTAGGGACTTTCATCACGTGTCCTGGAAAGCTTGGGGAATGATAAGCTCCACCCAGAGTTGGTAGTGAGTCCAGCTGAACAAGCCCTCCAGCTTGACTATGAGGGCCTACAATTTCAGGTGCGCCAGGTGGCAAAGGTGGGCTCTCTTGCATTGGTGGACCAGGAGGTCCCACACATGGGTGATGTCCAGGGGAGCCTGGGTGCCTCAAAGGACTATCACATCCTTGAGGTACATTAGATCCTGGACCTGGACTTGACTCAGAATTGTACATATGCTGTGGACAGGGACTGCTTTCCTGAAACTGTGGTCCTGGTGGTGAGGCACTGCTGTAAAATGCTGGTGGTCTATAAGTAAAAACAAAACAAAATAAAAACAAAAAAGACCCCAATATTTCTCAGTTCAAAGCAAAGAGAGAAGCAAAAATGTTATACTCCTAAATAGATACCAGCTAAGAATCTTTTTTTTTTCTTTTTGGTTTTTCGAGACAGCGTTTCTCTGTGTAGCTTTGGAGCCTGTCCTGGAACTAGCTCTTGTAGACCAGGCTGGTCTTGAACTCAGAAAGATCCACTTGCCTCTGCCTCCCAAGTGCTGGGATTAAAGGCGTGCACCACCACTGCCCAGCAAGAATGATCTTTTATGTTGAAATAGAATCCTGTGTATTTAAGAGATTACTTATTCCATATCATTGACAGGTTAAAAGTGTGTCTCTTGCTTTCATTTCAGAATTGGTTTTCTTAATTACTACTCACTACCAGATGTTTGGAAAATACAGAAAACAGCAAAGATAAATAAAAGTCACCTTGGAACCCAACATTAGGAGACTCTTCTGTTTTCCTGGGTATACACAGACTTGTTTACAGCCAAATTAAAATCCTACTATCTAAACATATAGCTCTGATCATGATTTCCAATGGAAGCTTATTGTGTTGATGGCATACAAAAGATTTCATTTTTAATGCAGACCTTCTTTATCATTTCTAATAGATTTGTCAGTTTGTGTTTTTACGTTTTACTGAAACTGCCTAGTGAGAGTCTCCCACTACACTTCTAATCTTGATTATTTATATCTTTCCTTTACTTCATTGATTATGATATATAATATTAGCAAAATGGTGGGTATTCCTATCCTTTTTAAATTTGAGGCAAAGCCTCAGTATATGGCCCATAGCAACTCTTATCCTAGTTTTCTTTCTATTGCTGTGATAAACACTGCGACCAAAAGTAACCTGGGGAAGAAAGGGTTTACTTCATCTTACAGTTCAGTCCATCATGAAGGAAATCAAGGGCAGGAACTCAAGGCAGAAACTGAAACAGACCATAGAGGAACACTGCCTCCTACTGGTTTGCCCTGATAGCTTCCTCAGCCTGCTTTCTTTCTACAACCCAGATCCACCTGCCCAAAAGAGGCATCACCCTCAGTGGGCTGTATCCTCCCCCATAATCAAGAGAATGTCCCTCCAGTCTTGCCTACAGGCCCGTATGACAAAGACATCTTCTCTGAGGTTTCCTGTTCCAGATGACTCCAGCTGCGTCAAGGTGACCAAAAACAGCATACCTCGCAACTCCCAAATTCTGACTTTAAAAGCACATTTACCACTATTTCTTCAGAACTTTAACTGCAATACTCTTACTGGCTCACATCAGTTGTGATGTTTACTCTAGTTCCTTGTGCTTCATGTGCTGAGATATTGTTGCATCCCTGGGCACGCAGGATTGAAGAATAATGTATAGCAGGGCCTAGAGGATGGGAATCAGGGCTACAATGGCCTTGCTAGAAAATGAAAATCGGACACGGCCTATCCAGAGTCTTTCCTCTAATACCCCAAGGAAATGCTTTAAGAAAAAACCCAGTGTACAAGAGACACAGTATCAGCAATTTGAAAATGCAATAACAAGCATGAAGGATATGAATCCATCCGGGAGTGCCCCTTGGTGTTACTATACAGCAAAGCTTCTAACGTTGTGGAAAATTCTGCAGAGAAAAATTGCTGGGGGCAGGAAAGAAGGGGAAGGGAAAGAGAAAGGGGAAGTAGCAGCCCCAAGCCAGGCCAGGTAACTGCTCTCTGCCTAAGTTTAATCATGTGAGTGATCTGGAATGCTCCTTAGTGTCTGAATGTTGAGCTTCAAGGGAAATGTTGCCAAATTGATGGGTTTAACTTACTTCTTCCCAATTTTATGTGCTAAATCCACAGTAGGTTTTACGACTATTTCAAAAAGAGATGGAATTTTCTTCAAATCATCAGAAAGATCTGTCTCAAAATCGTCTTCATGATCAGAAAAGGGAACGTGCTCTGATGGGGTTGGCAGAAGCCCGACTCCTGGGGGTGGTTTGGGGAGAGGAGTTATGCCACGCTTCCTAAGTTCCTCTAATTCTCTTTCATCTTCATGTATAAGTTCTTCATCGGCATTCAAAACCTGGACAATTGTAAAGGTTAGTAAGTACTTCAGAACAAGCTGTCTTCCTCACATTTAACACTAAAGACCTCAGTAAGCTACTTTTGTTAAACTAATAAATGAAGATTAGCATTAAAGTTTAACTAGATCAGAGATGAGTAACTATTTTCAATATGCAGAATGAGGTTCAGAGTAGTTTAAAGTAGTCAAGCATAGAAGGTAATTTAGTCTGGAACCCTCTTTAGTTTTGGTACACACTACAGACAGACAGACAGACAGACAGACAGACAGACAGACAGACACACACACACACACACACACACACACACACACACCTCTTAAGAATGCACTTGGAAGCCTAGCTACTTTACCTGCATGTACTATGCATACACATCCCTCTCCAAATAATGCACGTAGCAACCCCAGAAACCCCTGGGATCCCTACCTGCTTGGCTATACATACTCTCATCTCTGAACATCAGTACAGATTGCTCCACTCCCAGTTACAATCAAATTTAGACATCTTCTATTCAAGTGTATACTCAATGTTTAGTATGAAAAATAGAAGGGCTGATCCTGCACCAACTGGTTTTAGGTACATGCATAGTAAGGCAGACTATGTCCTTCAAGTGAACTTTAGGAATAACTGTCTATTTACCATCTTATTTATGCTTAAGCGAAATTAGGTATGTATATGAATAAAATCAGATGTACTATGGGAAGAGGCATGAGTAATAAAAAATTATTATATGATCTGATGTACCAACCAAAATAGAACTAGGGGCAGGAGCAATTTGGCCCTGTGGTTAAGAGCTCTGCTGCTCTTCCAAAGGATACAGATTCAGTTTCCTGCATCCACAGGGCAGCTCACAACTGTCTGTAGCTCTAGTTTCAGGAGATCTAACACAATTTTCTGGCCTCCAATGACACCAGGCACACCTACTGTGCATATACCTGCATGTAGCAAAACACTCATAAAATAAGATAATATGATCCCTAGTAACATCCTGGAGTATTTCTCAAAGCAAATTATTTCTTTTAGTATCAGAATAGGGATCATATTAAAATATTCTCAAATTTCTAGACCAATAATTGTATTTTCCAACAAACTATATTAATAGAACAAAACCTACAGCAGTTCCTCAATTTCTTAGCAACTTTACAAAATACTCTTTATAAGATATGATTTAGGGGGCTAGAGAGATGGCATAGAAGTTAAGAGCACTGACTACTCCAGAGGTCCTGAGTTCAATTCCCAGCAACCACATGGTGGCTCACAACTATTTGTAATGAGACCTAGTGCCCTTTTCTGGTCAACAGGCATATATGCAGGCAGAATATTGTATACATAATAATAAATAAATCTTTAAAATTAAAAAAATATGATTCAAGTAAAATCTGAGGAAAGATCAAACAAATGATCAATGGTGCAAAAGCACTACTCACTTTGTCCAAAAGTTTCTTTGTCTCTTTAGTCAGATCATCATGGGAAAACTTACAGTTGTCTCCTTGATAGCACTTTGCTCCACTATGATAGAACTTGCAAGGAAATTCACGTAAACAAAAATATTAAGGAACAGACCAAATAAAATCAAGGATAATTTTTTTTTTGGGTGTGTGTGTGTGTGTGCATGCACATGTGAACACACGTGTGCCTATCTATATGGAGGTCAGAGGTCAACACTGAGTGTCTTTCTCTATCACATTCAACCTTGATTTTGAGGCAGGAGCTCACCATTTAGCTACACTGGCTGGCCAGTGACCTCTAGGGATTTATCTGTCCCATCCACTCCCCAGCACTACATACACACACTACTGTACGCCACTTTTACACAGGTGCTGGAGATCTGAACTCGGCTCCTCATGCTTGAACAGTTAGCATTTTACTGAGCCATCATCCCAGGCCCAAGGTCTAGTCTTTTTCATTTGGAAAAGTAACTGTTATAAAGATGATTCACTTCCAATATCTGCTTTATAACATTGTACCTACAATCAACATTTACATGTTATAAGTGCACCAACTGGTTTTAGGTACATGCATAGTACCTTCTTAAAAATTGTTAAGAGAATATATCTCATATTAAAAGTCTTCTTACCACGAGAAAAAATGCTAAGTCAATACAACTTTGCTAGTATTTGCTGTACTGAAGAACCTGTAATCACATCTAGTAATGTATTATAGATCAATGTTTTAATAATGTAGGAATATTTAAAAAATTTAAACTCTTATTCTATGACTACAAATATACTTTTGGTTTTTTCATCTCATTAGTTCTTTGAAAATTCCATTCAGAAAGTTTAAATAGTATTCACCCCTCAACTCCCCTCAGATACACTCCCTTCTCTATCCACCCAACTTTGTGCCCCCCCAAACAAAAACACCATCTAATTTGTGCTGCCCATATATTTTTGGGAGTGTGACCTCCTACAGGAGGATAGTACACTGTGAAGATGTGCCTATGCTTTAATAAAAAGCTAAATGGCCATTAGCTAGGCAGGAAGTAAAGGTGGGACAGCCAGACATAGAGGACATGGGCAAGAAAAAAGGTCGCGATGCCATGAGATGCAGAGCAAGCAGTATGAGCACTATGGAGATGAGGTAATAAAGCCACGAGGCAGAAAGTAAATTAAGAGAAATGGGTTAATTTAAGTTATAAGAGCTAGTTAGAAACAAACCTAAGCTACCAGTCCATCTTTTATAATTAGTAAGTGTCATGATTTGGGAGCTGAAATGAAGGACAGAAAATCTGCCTAAAGTTATACCCATTCTTAAAAATTACCTGAGCCTTGGATGGGGAGGTGACATACATGTCCCATTTAGTCCTAGCATGCACACCGTTCTCCTATTCTTTGTACCTGGACTGGTTATGGGACTCTGTGTTAACCACCATCTACTGCAAACAGAAGCTGCTCTTGACAAGGGTTAGGAGATGTATTAACACAAATGTACTTTTTAAAGAAAAACATTTACAAAGTTAATAGAAAATAGTGTTGTATTTTAATATACAGGTACCATTCCTTTCTAATAACTGTTACAGAAAACAAAAAATTGTGTAAAAAAATTTTTTTATCTTGAAGGAAATAAAAGTATTTGGATATGTCATGTTAAGAATAAAATTCCTAACAATTAAAGCCACAGTACTAGTTTTACTTGAATTTTTAGAGACAATTTCTAAATAAAATACAAACTCTAGATTTATATTTGGGTGGCATGCATTTGAGTAATACATGTGTGGCTTTAGAGCTGTCTGACATGTCAGGCACTGTGGCACAGTTTTCATCCCAATCCTTGGGAGGCAGAGATAGGTGGGTCTTTGTGAGTTGGGATGACCAACATCCTCTTGGGTTCCAGGGCAACACAATGTCTCAAAAAAGACAACAACAACAAAACCCAAAACAAAAACAGAATGACAAACTCCAGGGAGAAAACTCATATGACTAATTCTGGCTAGTGCAAAAAACTGATAAAATTGAAAATTCTTTTTTACATTAATAAAAATCTTAGTAAAATATACTTATTTTGATTTTTTTAAAAACCTTTGTTAAGACAAATATTATGTCTGCTCCAATCACTATTATTTAACATTACTGTAAAGGTATTCTGAGTATAATTAAAATTATAAAAGTCATGGTGGCATACATTTGAAACCCTATAAGACCAAGATAATTCAAGGCCGCCTTACGCAATACAGTTACTGTAAAGCCAATATGGGCTACACAGTGAGAAACTGTCTCAAAAACAGAAAACAGACAAACAGAAAAAATCCAGAACCACAAAATATAGCAAAAGTGAATTAAATAAAATATCATTTATTTACAAGTGAAATGAGACCCCAAGAACAGAGTAGAAACTTTTAAAAACAGAATTTGATATCTGGTTTCTAAAGATGGCCCTATCAAATTTGAAAATAATACACTTGTATTTTCTTGACTAAGACAAATGAGGTGTATTTGCCAGATTAAATATCAAGTACACTCTTTGGGAGGCGTTGAGACAGGATTTCTCTGTGTAGTCCCAGCTGTCCTGGAACTCACTCTATAGACCAGGTTGGTCTCAAACTCACATCGATCAGCCTGCCTCTGCCTCCAGAGTGCTGGAATTAAAGGCGTGCGCCACCACCACCTGGCTTCTTTTCTCGTTCTTTACAACACTGACCAAAACCTAGGTATGCTTTCTCTTAACACTTGGGGCTTCTCTTCCTCCAAAGTGTCCTACCCTTTCCTTCCCCAAACTGATGCTTATCTCACTGCCATTTTGCTAACTAGCTTTCTTGCTTAACTTAGAAAGCATTCCTTTCTCCCTCCCTCCCCATGTCTCACTCAGGGCAGCTGCTGACACTAAGAGTTTGCTTGCCCTCTTGCCTTTCTCTGAAACTCTAATAAAATCACCCTTGAGCTTCAAAAAAATTTATATTCCTCTTACTATGAGCAAGAGCATTCTTCCATTTGATTTTGTACCATTTATGTCTCTCTTTCTGTGAATTATCTTTCTCTCCTGCTCCCAATCTTCTCAATTTTTAGGAAACTCTTACAAAATTTACAGAACTCTTATATATTTATTTATATAAAATATTTCCCATATTTTAATGTGTTTACTTAGCTTGTAGGTTTTTGTTGTAAAAATTTAAATGATCTCAGTCAAATTTTTAGTTTTTTCCCTTACTGATTTTGAGCCACAATAAGGTTTTTCATTCTCCTGGGTTATAAAGAAATGCATTCCTATATTCCTGAGCACTTTGCCTGTTTGAAGTTCAGAGGCTGACAAGACTGAGTTTACATAATGTGTCATTTTAAGTATAAAACCAAGCTAGGATTTCTAGATTGTATTTATGACTTTTTAAAAACAATGAAGCCGGGCATTGGTGGCTCACACCTTTAATCCCAGCACTCAGGAGGCAGAGGCAGGCAGATCTCTCTGAGTTTGAGGCCAGCCTGGTCTCCAGAGCGAGTGCCAGGATAGGTTCCAAAGCTACACAGAGAAATCCTGTCTTGAAAAACCAAAAAATAAATAAATAAATAAATAAATAAATAAATAAAAGCCACAATGATGAAGTATCAGTGTGTTGGTTAATACACAATTTCTATAAAGGATATTATGCATATAAATACAGTTCTCTCCTTTGGTACAATATCCCTGTAAATAGTATTTGCAGATCTCCTTTTTCTTTTCCAATTCTGCATCATGATCAAATTTACAGTGATCTCCCTGTTTAAACAAAAGAAAGCAGAAAGAATTAATTCAGTTCTACTCTCTGCTTATGTCCATGGTGGATTCTAGTCATTATCTTTAGTGGTAGACACTGAGCTATCACTAATGATGCTGGTAATCCCTCTCAAGCCCTGCCCAAGCAGTGTCTGTGGCCTTGGGATTCTGCCAGTGTCCCACTAGCACCCACCATTTCTAGAGGTAGCACGGGAACTTAATTAACCTATTGGTGTCATGTATAAATCAAAGCTAATAGCATCAACTAAATAGTGCATCTGTAAGATTAAGCCACCATGCATCAGCCAGACCATAAATGCTTTCTGTCACACTGTCAGATAGGCACAACTGTAACTGTCACAAATGTTAACACATCTGCTATGTGAAATCTGTTTTCTACCCATTATTGGCTGTCCCAGAATATAATTAAATGAGTCTGTATATATAGTAATTTCATACAAGGTACATTTTAAAAATCTGTCATTATTGCAATTATATGAGCAATAAAAAAAAAACTCCACGAAGGACTAAATTCTAAAGACTACTTTGAAAGTTAGAATGCTCTATCATACCATCTATGATAATATTTACCTTAATACACCTCCCTTCCAGGAAGTATTTACAGATCTGTTTTCCTTTGTGTTCCACTGTGTGCTGGTTAATAAACTCCTGAGTCATAACTTTCCATTTTTTCCCCGGTTTACTGTACTGCAAGAAAACATTCACTTGAATGTAAGATATGAAATATTAACATGTATTAAGACATACATGGATCTGGAAAGCAGTATAAATTGGCTATTAATAACAATCAACATTAGACACTCTGATTCTATCCACTTAACTGGAGAGAAATGCTTCTTCTGGTAGTCTTGTTCATTGCTACTACTGGCTGCAAGGGAGCCTTTTAAAGATATATTTTAAAAATAAAATTATAAAGGCTTGAAATTTCATAATCATATTCAGGTTGGGTAAAGGTGCTATAAAATATATTATCTTGCGTATTGCTGACAGATATATCATAAGTAACTTTAAAACTTCCGCCCTGATGCCAAGGCTGTACCTGCCTAGCGTTGCACAAGGTCCAGGTCAAAACCAAGCATTTTGAAACTACAGCTATGTAGCTGTTAGAAGTCTACTTGGGCCTGTGAGACAGCCTTCAGGTAGAGGCATTTGCACCAAACCCTATGGAATCCACATGGTGGAAGGAGAGAACCAGCAGGTTGTCTTCTGACCTCCATGTGTGTCGTCCCTAAATATTCACACATGAGCATAAAATACATAAAATGTAATGAGAACATTTAAAAGTTCACCCTTGCCTCCGTCTAACTGAATCAAAGCTAGAACCGTGATAGAAGACAAGAACTGGTAACTCCAAGTCAGAGTCGCTGAAATGTACAAGTTCAGAACTCAGCTCAATTTAACACATATTTGTTGAATAACTGTTACATAACAAGTATTTAAGTTCATCTTGCTGATCATTTATACTAACTTTCCCCCTTTTCAATGCTTTCAGCTCTGATAAATAAATAGTTACCAGCACCCTCCTTGTTGGCCCACTGACCTGTACTACCCTGTCACTGCCATCTGCACTGGGGAGAATGACCTCTAGGAAAGGAGAGCACAATGAAGGAGGAATAGGGGATGTGTTTTTGCTTGGAAACATCAGTTTTATCTTGAGGCTTTTCACATACAATCATTTTATTTCTAGGTCTCTTAAATGTGTACCTATATACTAGCACCATGGATAATTAAAAAAATTCTTTTGAGAGGATTTTCATATTCATTGTATCTTAGCTGAAAATTTTTCATTTATTCAGATAGTAACATTACAATTACAATGCATTACTTGCACCCAAATGATTTAAAAATAAAAAGGTCTTCCCCTCCTTACACATAAGTTCTCAATACCTCTTGAAAGTCATCCATTCCTGAAAAGACAGGCCCTTTAGTGACTCTTGCCCCATGGTGTTCTTTTCTTTTGATTTTCTTCGGTAAAACACGTCCATGACTAGTATTAAAACTTTTAATCCGATATTCAGTACCTTAAAAAGTTAAAATGTATTTCAAATATCACAGAAAAGCAGTGTAACTAATATCAATCAGCTTACAAGTAGCAATATATTTTTAACAGTCTACAGTGAGTCATCCTCCTTTCCCCTAAGAGCCAGTGAGAAAGTTAACCAATCATCTCTACCTTCTGAGTACTGCTTCCTGCTCAGAAGATGCAGGTGTTAGCAACAAAGGACGCAAGGCTTGAGTACCCATGTCTAGAGAAGTCATTCTTGTCTCTCCCCTCCCATCTTGGGATAAGATGATTAGCAATTTATTATTTTCATTTGTCTTTGTTTTAAGGCAGAGTCTCATCCTGTAGCCCAGGCTGGCTTAGAACTCCCAGTGATCTTCCCATCTCAGTTTCTCAACTACTGGGATTACAAGCATGAGCCACTACATCTGGTTCATAATTCATTCTTTTTATTTTGTTTTGAGACTGGGTCTCTATGTAGTTCTGGCTGATCTAGAACTCACTATGTAGACCAAGCTGGCATCAAAGTCACATATATTCTCCTGCCTCTGCCTCCCTGGTGCTGGGATTAAAGGCATGCACAACCACACCTCTTTTAAAAGCTACCCCCCCTTTTCAAAATAGTTTTATTCTTGAAAAGGGACTAAGAAATTTGTTATTGTAAACCTATATGGTTCTCATATTCTAAGACAGACTAGCTTTAAACTCACCTGGTGGGCTTCCTTTAGTTCTCTGTTTTTTCCCTGATTCCTTAGAAAACGATGACCCTGAGGATTCCTGAGATTGTCTATAATATTTCAGCTGACTGGAAAAGTCGTCTTCTCCCTCATGGTTGTAATTACCAAAGTTGTCATCACTGTAGTTACCAAAGTTGTCATCACTGTAGAAACTAGATTCAGCATACTCTTTACTGCTGAATTTTTTGTTATGTTGACTCTTCTTTGATGTCATGTAACTTCCTGATATATGTCCATGCTAAGTAAAAATGGACAATCATTATCAGAAATGCTCAACTAACAATAGCAACTGATAGAAACACAGAGTATCTTTTCCCTAGAAAGTTGGGAGAACAAAGGATAGAAGATAGTTGTTAGTTCTGACTACATTAGTATTTCCTTATGACCATATTTAACAATAAATTCAGTACACTAAATGCCACTTATATTATTAAATATTGTACTTTTATTCTTTAGCTTTTATTTTCCATGATCTGTGTCTCAATAGTTACAGACATGCAGATATTTTTAAGTCTATATCATATGTAAATTCCTTTTCCAAAGAAGAAGGTGTAAGCCCCTTCAGTACTCCAACTGTCAGGCTCCACCCACAGAACCAGCCCCTCCAGACACAGGCCAAGCTAAGTCCTTTTTACACAAAGTAAAAAGTCTGAGCTCAATTCTGGGACTTGAAATCCCACCAATCCCTGGAGTCAAAACCCCACCAATCCTTAAGCTTGCCCCAAGATCAAGATGTGAAATCCTACCAATCCCCATCCTGCAAATCACTGCCCTGGAAAACTTCACTGCCAAGAAACCCTACATAAAACCTGCCTCCAGCTCAGTTCCTTGCTGTTTCTCACCCAAGCAGAAGAGCCATCCTGTGTGTCTTTCCCAACAAATCTCTTGTGTGAGGTTTGTTGTATGGTGTGACTTGTGGTATTCCTTGGCTCCAGACTGCCAGGGTGTTTTATTATAATGTTATATACATTTAAAAACATTAGAATTACCTTTCTAGTTGAAATATTAAGATATACAGATTGAAACAGAGCTGTAACACTTGTGTTGGGGAACCTCTTCCCCTCATAGCTGTAACACTTATAAAAGGTCTTTCTAAAATTAAAGAAAACAGAGAAGCAGCTTGGGGGTAATACAGAAAATATTCATATATCAAATATTGAAAGATTAAATAGGAGAGGACTTCTGGGTTATTGGGAACAGAATGGGTGGATCCGGTGGGGACAGGAGGGGAAGGTAGAGTTGAGGGAGGGATTGCAGGAAGAAACAGCTAGAATTGTGAGACATTTGAGGGATGATATGGAAACCTAGTGCAGTGGAAAATTCCTAAAATATATGAAGATGATCCTAATGAGGATTACTAATAATGAGGGAAACAGAGTCCCAACTGGCTGTCTCTTGTCACCAAATGAGGCTTCCAGTACTGGGATGGGGTTGCATTCAATTGAGTTTTTGGCCAAGGGGGTTCAATGGAAATCACCAAACAACCCAGGATGTTGCTAAGACAACAGGTTGCTCTCTGCAACCTAACAGCAGGGCCCCTGTTGGGGAATATTATTTTAAGGTGTGTGACTTATGTTTATGCTGCATTTGTATAACTCTGTGAAGCTCTGATTCTTTGCCTGTCTAAAATACCTGGTGGTCCCAATAAAGAGCTAAACTGCCAATAATGAGGTAGGAGCAAGGATAGGTGGGGCTGGCAGGCAGAGAGTATAAATAGAAGAAGAGAGGAGAAAAGCAACAAGAGAACAAGGAGAGGAGAATATCAGGAGTCAGCCACCCAACCACCCAGACAGCCATGGAGTAAGAAGAAAAATAAGATATACAGAAGTAAGAAAGATAAAGGCCCAGAGGGAAAATGTAGATGGAATAATTATAGTTAAGAAAAGTTGGCAAGAAACAAGCCAAGCTAAGGCCAGGCACTCACAACTAAGAGTAAGCCTCCTTGAATGACACACTTGGGAGCTAGGTGGTGAGCCCCACAAAAAGCAAAAAGAGTAAAAAAAAAAAAAAAATTAATGCTACAGGCTCCATTGCCAGGACAACACACACACACAATTCATTGAACATGGAGATGTCAAGCTGGTGCCAACAGGGAGCCTTCAGCTCTATGTTATAGTGTTTTTGTGCAGGAAGGTACTCTACAGGTTACCAAAAGGAAGCATATACGCCAACATAGCCACAAAACGTTTGACCTATGATCTGTCCTGTCTGCAAGATATGTTAGAACAACAGTGGCACTGAACTGGTGGGAATAGTCAACAAATGACTGATTTGACTTGAGGCCCAATGCTTGGGTGACCAAGAACCAGCCACTAGACAGCCTAGAGACCCAGGGTAAAACCAAACACTACTGGCCTAAAAAAAAAAGAAAGAAAAGAAAAGAAAACCCACAAACCAAAAAACAAACAAAAAACCTATCAATAAAATGACTCCTAATGATACGCCTTATTCAGTCATCATCAGAGAAACTTCCTTCTACAGTGTACAGGAACAAATGCAGAGACTCACAGCCAGACATTACATGAAGAGAGAGAGTCCTTGAAACACAAAGCTCTAAATGGATGTCTTCATCGAATCCCTCCCATCAGAGATCAGGGAACCCCCATGGAAGAGGAGGTAAAATGAGTATAAGAGCCAAAGGTAGGGGCTGGAGAGATGGCTCTGTGGTTAAGAACACTGGCTGCTTTTCCAGAGGACTTGGGTTCAATTCTCAGCACCTACATCGAAGCTTCACAACTGTCTGTAACTCCAGTTCCAGGAGATCTAACACCCTCATACAGATATACATGCAGGTAAAATACCAATGAACATAAAAATACAGAGGGAATATCCCTGAGGACACAAGGAGAATAAGACCCTCTGAATCAACTGAGCAAGGCTCATATGAACTCACAGAGACTGAAGCAATAAGCACAGGGCCTACACAGGGATGCACCAGATCCTCTAAATATATAGCACAACTTTCAGCTTAGTGTTCTTATTGGACTCCTGAGAGTGTGAACAAGTGGGTCTCTGATGCCTGTGCCTCATCTTGAGGCTCCTTTCCTTCTGTTGGGTTGCCTTGACCAGACTCAATATGATGGTTTCTGTTTTATCTTACTGTATTTTATTTTGTTATATTTGGTTGTTATCTCCTAGAAGCCTGTTATTTTCTAATGAGAGATAGAAAGGGAGTTGATCTAGAAGGGAGGAGAGGAACTGGGATGGGTAGAAAGAAGGGAAAGGGTAATCAGGATATACTGAATCTACTTTCTTTTTTATTTTGTTTTGTTTGAGACAGGGTTTCTCTGCGTAGCTTTGTAGTCTGTCCTGGAACTAGCTCTTGTAGACTAGGCTGGCCTGTGAAGAGTTCCACCTGTCTCTGCTTCCCTCTCCTGAATGCTGGGATTAAATGCATGTGCCACCATGCCTTGCCCAAGAACCCATTTTCAATAAAAAGAAAATGAAAAAAAATCAAAAACATGTAAAAATTTTGTAAAAAAAAAAAAAGTCAAAGACATATACAATCTTAGAGTAAAAGGATTAAAAAAGTTTTCCAAGAAAATAGAAATAGTAAATATGCAGGTAGCACTGTTCTAATATCTGATCAAATAAACTTCACACAAAAATAAAAGAAGGCCTTTTCTTGCCAGGTGTTGGTGGTACACACCTTTAATCCCAGCACTCGGGAGGCAGAGGCAGGCAGATCTCTGTGAGTTCGAGACCAGCATGGTCTACCAGAGCAAGTTCCAGGACAGACTACAAAGCTACACAGAGAAACCCTGTCTCAAAAAACCATTTTTTTAAAAAAGGTTATTTCTTATGGATTAAGGGACAACCCATTAAGAGGATATTACAATTCTAAAGGCATACATACCAAACACAGATGAACCTAATTTCATAAAACAAATGTTACTAGATGTAAAGTTATAAGATTAACCTCACCGCAGTAATTGTGGTGACTTCAATACCCTACTCTCACCAGTAGACAGGTCATTGTGACAAGAAAAAGAGAAACATTTTAGTTAAATTACATCACTAATCAAATGGACCAAAAAGACAATATGCAGAAGGCCTAGGTCCGTCCCATACAGGCTCCCTGGTTGTTGGTTCAAACTCTTTGAGTTCCCATGAGCCAGGCTAATGAATAAACCAAATCTTAACAAACAGAGGGAAACTGAAATAATTCCTGTACTCAACTTGAGCACAATGGAATAAAACTAGAAACTATAGAACATACACAACCTCATAGATGTTGAACACCACACTCCTGAATGATGAATCGGTCATCTAATACCCCAAGACAGAAATTTTAAAATTCCTAAAATTGAACTAAATTATAACATAACACAGAAAAATGTATGTGTCCAAGATTTGTTTCCTGTTACTGTGATTAAAAACACCCTGACAAAAGCAATTTAGGGTTTATTTTAGCTCACAGTTCTAGGTTATAGTCCATCATAACTGGGAAGTCACATGAGTTTCAGGGAGTTGGTCACATCACCTCCACAATGGAGAGCATATGGATGGATGGATGCATGTATCCATGCATCCATCATGTTTCTAGTGCTCAGCTTGCTCTTTCCTTTTTATTGCAAGATCCTGTCCATAAAATGATGCTGCCCACACTTAGGGTAGGTTTTCCCAACCTCAGTTCACTAACTAAGAAAATCCCCTAGAGGCTAACCTAACCCATATAAACACTCACTAAGGCTCTCTAGATGGTGTAAGGTTGAGTGTGAAGGCACATTACATATCTTTAAACCTATGCAGTCAGAGGTAGACAGGTCTTAAGTTATTTTCACTAAAATTAGGAACAAGACAAAAATATTCAGTCTCTCCACTCCTATTCAATGTAATGCATGGAGTCTTAGCTACAGCAATAAGACAAAGAAGAAAATAAAAGAGTAGTATCTTTATTCAATGTGATAGGATTCTATATTTTAAAGATCCTGAAAAATCCATCAGCAAACTCTCAGATCTGATAAACAGTTTCAGAAAATAGCAGAGCAATTTATAAAATTAACACACAAAAATCAGCAGCTACCCTATATACAATATCAAACATGCTGAAGATGAAACCAGAGAAACAATCCCATTCATAATTGTTTTCTTAGAAGCCAAAATTTGGAATAATCTAGCTAAGGAAGTAAAAAGTACTATTGTGGGATATTTGTACACTATGTGGAGATGTATTGTGTGATCGGTATAATAAAAAGCTGAACAGCCAATAGCTAGGCAGGAGAGTATATGTCAGCTTCCAGGCAGAGAGAGAACTCTGGGAAGAAGAAAGGTGGAATCGCCAGTCAGATGAAGAGGAAGCAAGATGGGTAGTACAGAGAGAGATGAGGTAATGAGCCTCCTGGAAGAATACAGATTAGAAATATGTGGGTTAATTTAAGTTATAAGAACTAGTTAGGAATAAGCCTAAGCTAAGGCCCAGCTTTCATAATCATTCTTTTTTTTAAAAAGATTTTATTTATTTATTATGTATACAACATTCTGCTTCCATGTGTATCTGCACATCAGAAGAGGGCACCAGATCTCATAATGGATGGTTGTGAGCCACCATGTGGTTGCTGGGAATTGAACTCAGGACCTTTGGAAGAGCAGTCGATGCTCTTAACCTCCGAGCCATCTCTCCAGCCCCTCTGAACCATCTCTCCAACCCTCATAATTAATAATAAGTCTGTGGTCATTATTTGTGAGCTGGCAGTCTGAAAAGAAAAATCCTACTGCAGTACCCCCCAATGAAAACTTAAATGCTGGATAAAGAAACTGAAGAAGACACTAGAAGATGGGAATACCTCCCATGTTCATGGATTAGAAGACCTAATATGAAAAGGCTATCTTATCAAAAGCAATCAACAAATTCAAGGTAGTCCCCATCAAAATGCCTATACCTAATTCTTCACAGAAACTGAAAAAAAAATCTTAGAATTCATATAGAAACACAAAAGACTCAGAATGGTCAAAGCAATCCTAAGCTATAACAATAATGATGATGTTGGTGATGATGATGAAAAACAATGACTACTTACCCAAAGGAGTCTGAACCAGTATATCATAGAGGTACTCCCACATCCATGTCTACTGCAGCACTGGACACATTAGCTAAGTTATGAAACAAACCTAGGTGGCCTTTAACAGTGGGATTGATAGAGTGCTTTTTAGGCATAAAGAACAAAGTTTTGCCATTTGTAGGGAAATGGATGTAACTGGAGATTATCGTATTAAGCAAATTAAGGCAATTTCAGAAAGACAAATATTGTGTTTTCTTTGTGTCTTAGACTTTATAAAGACACATAAAATTGAACCAGGCAGTGGTGGTGCACACCTTTAATCCCAGCACTTGGGAGGCAGAGGCAGGCAGATCTCTGTGACTTTGAGACCAGCCTGGTCTACAAGAGCTAGTTCCAGAAGCTACACAGGGAAACCCTGTCCTGAAAAACAAACAAACAAAAAAGACACATGTATACATGCCATGAAAGTAGAAATCAAAACTGTTTAGGGAACAAAGTGGATTACTCAGGGAAGGTGAGGAAAGGTAAGGTAAGGTGGAAGTATGGAGAGGAATATGTTAAGAATATAATATACACTTGTGTGAAAATGTCCTTCTAAATGTATAGTAAATAAAATTGCAGAACTTTTGTAAAAATCACTTATCTCTGAGGTCTATCACTAATAGAGAAGCTTTCTCTAATAGTGAAGTAATACTGAGTGAAAAAAATAAAAATCTTATTAAAAAACTGTTTACAATAAACATTAATTTCATTACATCTTACTAAAACATGAAAACAAATATATAATTTAGTCCTAGAAGTTTATTTAATGATAGTAGTCATTTAAATATTTCACAAGTACTTTATAATTAGTTCTATCATATCTTCTGCCAACTTTTTAATAAAACAAGAAAAATTCCACATAATTATGATTTGAAGACCAATAAAAAGCAAATACCATACCTTGTTCTTAGTTTATTGCACTTTAAATGTGGTGTGGTAGGAATTCTTTTTTCTTTTTTTGAGGCAGTCACCCTGACTGTCCTAAAGCTCACTCTGTAGACCAGACTAGCCTTGAATTCACAGAGATTCACCTGCCTCTGTTTCCCTATTGCTGAGATTAAAGGTGTGTGCACCATTACCCAGCCATAAGGTATTAATTCTAATATTTCCCAATTAGATAGATTTATAATTATTGCTTACATTTTTTAAGAAGGTGATTTAATTAAACATTTATTGGCAGTCATTTAGCAACACCAACTATAAAGAAGGCACCAGAAACTGGGACACTAGCTCATCTGGCAAAGGGCTTGCCTTGCAAGCATAGAGAACAGAGTTCAGTCCCCCAAAACTCATGCAAAATGTTGGCAGGACATTACCAGCGCTGGAGAGATGGAGACAGTAGATTCTCAGGACTCATTGGCTAGCTAGCCTAGCCTATTTGACAATAGGACAATGAAAGACATTTTCTCAAAAAGCAAGATGAGCTGTGGGGTTGGAGAGATGATTCAGTGGTTAAGACTGCATTCTGCCCTTCCAGAGGACTTGAGCTTGATTCCTAGAATTCACGTTAAGCAGTTCACAACCACTAGGAACTCCAGGAGATGCAGCACTTCTAGCCTCCATGGGCACCTGCACGCGTACACACACTGTCCCCCACCCCACATATACATCATTAAAAACAAATCTTCAGACAAACAAAAAGCAAGGTGATAGTAACTGAGAATGACTGTCAAGGTTGTCTTCTGGCTTCCACATGTGTACACACAAGTGCAAATTCATCTGCAACATTTATACATTTGTGCACACACACAAAAGAATATGGAGCTAGAGAGATGGCTCAGTGGATAATATTACTGGCTGCTTTTCCAAAGGATCAGGGTTCAATCTCCAGCATTTTGTAATAATCTGTAACTCCAGTCCAAGGGATCCAGTGCCCTCTTCTGGCCACTGGGGACACTGCATGCGCACGAAATAATAAAATCAAATTTTTAAAAAAAAAAGGACAACTGAGAGAGAAACCATATAACCAAACAGACTAATTTGGTTTCTAAACTAACAAGAGATTAGTACTATCAAATTAGGGCAAAGAATAAAGTTCTTGAGGAAAAGAATATTGCTTTCCTTTGTTTATACAATACATATTTAAGAAAGAATGTATAATGTTGCCTTATGGCTGTTTTCTTTTCTAGTGCTGGGGATGGAACCCAGAGCATGCTAAATAAGTGTTCTACCACTCTTTCATTTAAAAAAAATATTCCAGATGATTTTTGCATTTAAAGAAGCCAATGTCACATAGATTCACAATTCATTATGATCTTGGTGCACTACAGGTTGGACTGTATCACTCCAAAATTCCTGTGCAGAAGCCCTAACCCCAGTAGCTCAGAATGTGGCTGCATCTGGAGATAGGCCTTGAAAATAACCTCTGGTGTTTGACTGGTGTTCTTTTGTTGTTGTTTTTCAAGACAAGGTTTCTTTGTGTAGTCCTGGCTATCCTGGAACTCACTCTGTAAACCAGGCTGGCCTTGAATACAGAGATCTGCCTACCTTTGCTCCACAAGTTCAGGATTTTTTTTTTGAGACAGAGTTTCTTTGTAACTTTGTAGACCAGGATGGCCTCGAACTCACAGAGATCCGCTGCCTCTGCCTCCCAAGTGCCCAAGTGCCCAAGTGCCACCAATGCCTGGCTTGACGGCTGTTCTTATAAAGATGAATAATCTGTGCATTCAGAGACATCAGGGGCTGCTATACACAGCAGCATGACCATGTGAGGGCAAAGCTGTGAGAGGGCACCCATCTATAAACCAGAGGGGGGCACCACACAGACACTTCCATATAGGTGCCACTGGAAAGAAACTCCGTTAGCATTTTGAACAGGGACTTCTAGACTTCAGATTCAGAAAAAATGTCTAATATGTGTCCAGACAAACACCAGTGCCAGTAAACTTGATAATATAATACATTCTTTATCTCAAAGACTTGGGAATTTGTAGTATGATAAATATATGCTAATATGACAAACAGATTTTCAGTATTTCCAAAAAATGTGCAAATTAAGCTTGCATTTTACACTTTTAAAAGGCAATACATAAAATATGAATGCCACTTGAACACCCATTTTCTACTCCCCACAGCCAATGAAAATAGGAAAGAACAAGCACAGGCAAGGATGCAGAGAAGATGCCTCAAGCATCTCAAATCGAATATATAACAGTACAATCTGTGAAAACAGCTTGGTTGTGGTTCCTCAGAAAGTTAAAAGGAACCACCAATAATTTCACGATTATGCATATGCTCCAAGGAAATGATTGAAAGGCTTTGAAGACAATTTTTTAATAAGTTGGATTATTCACAACAACCAAAAAGTGCCAATAACCCTACAGTCCCTCAACAGATGATTGAATAAACAAAAATGCAGCACACACAACAACAGCGTGTTGTTCAGTGTTAAAAAGAATGAGGTTTTTATATACACTGAACATGCATGAATCTTCAAAACATGCTGAGTAATATAGGCCAGATCCAAAAGGACAAAGCATATGCTACAAGAGCTCTAGAGGAGGCAAATTCATTGACAGAAAGTGAGGGCGGTAGATAGAGGAGTGAGGAGTAGGGCTGCTTCCTAGAGACAGGATTTCTGTTTCAAATGAGTAAGAAGTTCTAGACATGGAAGGCAGTGGTGGCTAAATACGACAGATATATTTAATGCCACCCAGTCATAATCTTGAAATGCGGTTACATGGTATATTTTATGTTATACATGTCTTATCATAACAAAAAGACAATACCTGAGAAAATGGAGTGTCATAATCCCTGTAGAAACTACTTCTTTTCTTATAGGAACTTTCCATACGTTCAACATCTGAATCCAGGCTGTAGTCAGAACTATCATCACCAGATGGAGAGTTATGCTGAAACCAACAAACCCACATGTTACATTCACAAGAAGGAAACTAGTTCATAACCACATAAGCTTGTTTCAGTCAGTGGTGGCAACCAAGAGGGTCTACTATTCCCTTAGACTCTTGAGTACATTGAGAAATTCTTGCTCTAGGTTGGAGAGATGGCTCAGCCATTAAAGGCTAGGCTCACAACCAAAAGGATAAAGTCTTCCTTTAAAGGTCACCACCACCTACAGGCTGAAGTTTTTTTTTTCCCCCTTTTGTTCAGGTACTTTATGGACATGCATTTCTCATCAACTCCATGCCAAGAGCTTAAAACAGAAATCACTTGGCTCTAAAATGATCTGACATTTATACATTTATGCCTCTCTGCCTCAGCCTCCTAAAGGTGGGATTGCAGGTGTGTGCCACCATGCTCACTTTAAGCTAATATTGAAGGAAATAAAATTGGCTCCTTATCACCAAAAGGTTCCAGAACATGAGTAGACTATTTGTTCATTTAATTTTGTCTAAAGTTGCTTTGGAGTTATTTAGTGGCATGAAAATACTAAAACTACTTCAAATTACCTACCTGAAATGAATCCAGCCCACAAAATCGAACAAAAGTAAAACAAAAACCCCAAGTGAATGATAATAGCTGGCAAATAATGAGAGAAAGCTTATTTACATTGTAATGTAATTTCAAATATAAAAATCAACAAGTATTTTTGTTTTTTTTTTTTGAGACAAGGTCTCACTAACACTGGCAAGCCTGGCACTCTCTGTGTATACCAACCAGACTAGCCTCAAACTCACAGATTTCCACCTGCCTCTGCCTCCCTAGTACAAGTCTTTTTTTTTTTTTTTTTTTGTCTGACCAAATAATAACCTCATCAACTTGAGTTCTTTATGCAGTTCTTAATATTTTTCACAATAAAACACACAGCTCTGCATTTTTTAATTTTTTAATTTGTGAATTCCCAACCTAAGTATGGCACAAGCTAAGCGAAATTTTATTTAATTGAACTGAACTCTAAGATTCTTACAGAGGCAGGGTCTTCTTTCCTCCATTCTGTTAAGTGTTCCTTTAAAAAAAAAAACAACTATTTTGCTTCTAAATGTTTGGAGTTTGGTTTTGTTTTTAGTCTTGATTTTATTGATTTGATAGATGAACCATCTTTTTACAACTATGCTGCCAAATATTTCAAATACATAGCCATTGTTGGTTGGGGTTTGAAATAAGTAATTACTTGATTGTTTGGTGATATTTTGATCACATTCTGATGCTCCCAAGACTGCCGATAAAAAATTTGCTCTGAATCAGAGGGCAGATCTAGCTACTAGCTGACCAAGAGGTTTGGGAGGACTGAGGACAGATAACAGAGATAGGAAATAGTAGGCTTACAGAGGTTCTCAGGCCTTTTTGGATGGAGGAACAAGACAGACAGACAGACATGATAGGTCTCTGGTCTCTTCTCTGCCACTTCTTTGATCATTCAAGTTCTTACTCTAATATCTGACTCCTGAATTTCACTGATAAAGAATAACTAGATAAAAGCTTCAACTGATGAGAGAAATATATTAACCTATTACTACTATGCTCTATTTCTTCTTAGTCATTAAAAGTTCCTGCTTTATGACAGTTGTTACTTTGAAGAATGTAAAATTTAATAATATATTCAATTTGAATTGTAACTTTTATCATTACAAAATGCCTTTCTGTGTGTGGGGGGATTAAGACATGGTCTCTGTATGTAGTCCGGACCAAACACAGAAGTCCTGCAGGTGGGGTGGGAAGCAGAAGGAACAGGAGTTCAAGATCATCTTCAGCTATAGAATGAATTCAAGGTCAGCCTGGCTTACATGAGATACTGTCTCAAACAAGCCAGCAAGCAAACAACAACAAAAAGGAATGGAAAGTTGATGTTAGCTTAACTAACCTTATGTTTCTCATGTTTTCTCCTTTTGGATTTTTTCTTTTCTCTTTCTTTCTTGTGTTTTTTTCTTGATTTTCTGTAGGCTTTCTCATTTTTCTGCTTTTCATTCTCTTTTGCTTCCTGATCTTGTGTTTCTTCAAATCCTGCATCATCTATCTCACCATCTTCTAATTCCCCATCTTCTCTGTAGAAAGTAATGAAAATTTTACACTTCAAATGTCAATTCTAAAACAAATGAGAAAATATTTTGAAAAGAAAAAGACCCATGTGCCAAGAAAAATTACATTCATACAGATAAGAGGACCAGTAAGTTAATATTTTACTTTTTTGCAAGTATCTGTGGTTTCTGTTACTAATTCTTCCCTTAAAAATATTGAAATGGGGTGGGGGCTGGAGAGATGCCTCAGTGGTTAAGAGCACTGCCTGCTCTTCCAAAGATCCCGAGTTCAATTCCCAGCAAATACATGTTGGCTCACAACCATCTGTAATGAGATCTGATGCCTTCTTCTGGCCTGCAGGCATACATGCAGGCAGAACACTGTATACATAATAAATAAATCTTTAAAAAATATTGAAATGGGCCGGGTAGTGGTAGCACATGCCTTTAATCCCAGCACTTGGGAGGCAGAGGCAGGCAGATCTCTGTGAGTTCTTGGCCAGCCTGTTCTACAGAATGAATTTCAGGACAGCCAAGGCTACACAGAGAAACTGTCTTGAAAAACAAAACAAAACAACAACAACAAAAAAAAACAAAACAAAAAACAAAACAAAAACAGAAATTAAAATGTAACAATTATTCTCGAAACCAAAGTTTGTCGATTTCTAATTTAGATTCAGATTACTGGTTCTCCCAAAATGAATGAATAAAATGTTATCACAAACTATTACAATTACCAGTAATTAAACTACTTTGAAGGAAAACTAAATTATTTAAAGAAATACTATAATTACAAGACCTTTTTTTTTTCCAGAGATAGGGTCTCTCTCTGTGTAGCTCTGGCTGTCCTGGAACTCACTCTGTATGTAGACCAGGCTGGCCTTGAACTCACAGAGATCTATCTCTGCCTCCAACTGCTGGGATTAAAGGTGTGAACTACCACCACCTGGCAAGAAAGACTTTTTAATTTTCGGTCTGTAGGTAGCTTTAAATAAAGGCAAGCTAGTCGGGCCGTGGTGGCACACGTCTTTAATTCCAGCACTTGAGAGGCAGAGGCAGAGGCAGACAGATCTTTGTGAGCTCCAGGCCAGCCTGGTCAACAAGAGCTAGTTCCAGGACAGCCAGGGCTACCCATAGAAACCCTGTCTCAAAAAGTCAATAAATCAGTAAATAAAGGCAATCTATAGTATTTTTTTAACCATCAGAGTAAATTTCAGTAGGTAGATATACTGTATGCATAGATTTAATAAAAATCCAAGCCACAAAAGATTTACAAATTGCTCAACTTTCATTTATAAAATATGTAAAATTATACATCTAATTCCACTTTCCAGTGACTAGCATCTTTGCTATTATCAAAGCTAAATACTGGGAAATAACTTTTATTTTTTTAATTAATTAATTTATTTTTATTACATATAGTGTTCTGTTTGCATATACACCTGCAGGCCAGAAGAGGGCACCATACCTCATTACAGAGGGTTGTGATGCACCACGTGGTTGCTGGGAATTAAACTCAGGACCTCTGGAAGAGCAGCCAGTGCTCTTAACCTCTGAGCCATCTCTCCAGCCCGGAACTAACTTTTAATGCTGTCACGTTTTTAATTATAGAATCCAAAGTTTTAATTCCATTTTAAAATTCAAACCAATGATAAACACAATTATGATGTGGGCATCGTATAGGTAAGTTGGAATTACTAGGAATGTTTAATGTATAAAATATAAATTGTTCCTGTCATTCTCCTGTTTAAAATCTTCAATAATAATACAATAGCTCAAAGTTGCCTCAAGTTTATCTACTTGTAAGAGAGGAAGTGGTCTCAAGAGGACTGTGAATTGGTAGTTAATGAAACTGGCTTGTGTGGGTAAAGATTCTACTCTTCTTTATGTATTCAAATCCTCTTTAATAAACAGTCTACAGTGGCTTCCTTCTGACCCTAGGATGATATCAAATCTCCTTGATATTTATTATTCAAAGGCCCTTAATAATTGAGCCCCCACTTGGCCAGCTAATCTAATTTTAGTATTTCAAGTCTCCAAGACTTAAAACATCATCTACAATTTCTCATTAACCTACTCACCTCAAATAACAACTCCTGCTTCTGTCACATAGCTAATTTCAATATATTTAGAATACAAATTAGATGCCATTTCCTCCAAGATGCCTCCTCTTACTCTGGTTTAGAGGAGATACTCCAAGTACTGCCCTGTTTGTCCTATTGTTGCACTCTTAACATTGTTTTCTGATCATTTGTTTATTTCTTGGTGAGTGAAGGGGTTTGGCTATCTTTCATATATGTATCTTTAGTATCTTGCATAGTACCTACTATTATTCAATCACTGAATCTGTAACACCCATCCAGAAGAAGTATAGGATAGCATCCTAAATGGTCATTGTTATTTTCCCCCAGCTCTGTTATAAAATTGAAATAGTGTAGTGATTGAATGAGAATGCTACCCCAAAGGCGCATATATTTGAATGCTTGTTCAACAGTTGGTAGAATTATTTGGGAAAGATTAAGAGGTGTGGCTCCATTGGAAGAAGTATGTCATTGGGGGTGGGCTTTGAGTTTTAAAGGCTCATGCCATTCCCACTGACTCCTTTGTCTCTCACTCCTTTTCTACCCCCCTCTCTCCTTTCCCTCATCTCTCCCTCTGTCATTCTGCCATACACCCCACCATAATAGCCATGGACTGACCACCTGAAACTGTAAGCAAGCCCCAATTAAATGCTTTCTTTTACCTTGGTCTACTCACAGCAATAGAAAAGTAACTAAGACAGTGATGTATTTCCACTTACATGGACTTAAAATTTTCTGTGAGACAGGCTTTGCATTCTGCTATCTTAATGACAACAATAATGTATTTTTTATTATTATTGTTGTTATGTGTGTAGTTGATGCGTGGGGAAGAACATTATGCTGCAGCATGCATGTAGAGATCAGAGTGATGGGATGTGCTCTTTTGTATGTTGTGAATATGTTTCTCTTATTGGTTGATGAATAAAGCTGTTTCTGCCAATGGACAGGCAGGATGTTGCCAAGCAGGAAGAATAAGTGGGGCTTCCGTACTAGGAGAATTCTGGGATAGTAGGACACCTGGCCATTCTCCGGTAAGCCAAGACCACATGGAGAGACACAGATTAATAGAAATGGGACCAGGTGTTGGTGGTGCATGCCTTTAATCCCAGCACTTGGGAGGTAGAGGCAGGTGGATCTCTGTGAGTGCCAGGATAGGCTCCAAAGCTACACAGAGAAACCCTGTCTCGGAAAAAATAAATAAATAAATAAATAAATAAATAAATAAATAAAATGGGTTAATAATTTAGAGAGAGCTAGCCAATAAGAAGTCTGAGCCAATGGACAAAGTTTATAATTAAAAAAATAAAAAGAAATAAGAGTAATAAAAATGGCCATGTAAAGATGGAAAACAATCAGAGAGTCTGGATACTGTATGTTATTGTGTTGTCTTTGAATTGTTTGACTGCTGAGGAAGGAGCAACAGCTGCTAAAAGAGCTGTTGATTATAAATGCTGCTAGATTAATCCAACCTGTATATTTTCATAATTTAAGTCTAAGGACATGTTACTTTGGAAAAGAGGTTCTGCTTTTGTTTCCACAGAAGATGAAAAGCTGTGGATTCCTTCCAGACGAATATGGTTTGATTAAACAAGACCCCCCTGAAGCAGTGACCCAGTGATCCAATATCCAAAACATCTGAGACAATGCAGCTCCACAGGCCACTACAGCCAGGATTTGGCCATGATTCTGGGTTTTCTCAGAATCTCCTTGGAATTGATAGAACCTCCCCCACCCACCACAAACAGCAGGAAGCAGTTTGGAGAGAACACCATGCCCACTTTCCCAAATATTGTTTATAAATATTTGTTCTCATTTAAACAGGGTTAGTTATAAATGGTTAATGATTGCAGTCAATTACTTTCTAAAGATAAAAAAGAGAATATGATATAAAAATGAATACTTTGCATTAGTATGGATTTTGGTTTATTGATACAAATTTAAGGTCAATTTGTTGTATGTATATTTCTACTCTTGTTTAGGTATTGTGTCTATAGCTCTTTTAAAATGTATAATTAAATGCAGACTATAGATAATCACCTATAATAATCAAAACTTACGTTAGGATTTCTAGATACACAGAGATATATTTCAAATGGATAGGTATTCTTCAAAACCTTTCAAAGACCTATAGAATATGTCATTTAAAGTGGTGTGTTAGGACACAACTGCTCCTGGAAACACCAATTATGTCAGAGAGAAAGGAGAGCATCAGAGAAACTCATTATGGAGTTTGCCTTCAACATGGCAGGAATAGCCATTTAGACAAGTAACTGCTCTTGCCTGGACTGCTTGACAGCATACTATCCAAACTGGACAAGCAGGTTACAAAGAAAAGTGACTGTTGAACTTGCCTAGGGACAGGATGGTCCTTCAAGGTTCCTGCTTCATCAAAACATCTGCCAGACATTATGGGCCTACAGGCTGAAGAGGGCTGCCCTAATGTTACAGAGGTGACTGTCCAGGCATCAAGATGTCTCTGTCAATTCTAGAGTTCATATATTATCTTTCTGGCATCTTTGATGGAGTTGAAGATAGATAGTTATGGCTATGGTTTTCCTTAGTTATGATAAAAGATAAGTTACATATAAAACTTTAGACTCACAAAGATGGGACAGATGATAGAATATTTTCTTTAAATTTTGCCAAATGTAAATGGACTAAATATTATGACTATAATTCTTACTTGATAACTGTTTTGTTATATATAAATTTGCTAGGTTAAAGAGAGCTGGCAAGTAAGAAGCCTGAGCTATTGGCCAAAGAGTTTATAATTAATATTAGCTTCTGTGTGCTTATTTGAGATGTTTGAGATGCAGGACTAGACAGGACAGAAATTTCCATCTACATCAGAGGACCACTTTGTAGAGACAATTCTGTCCTACTTTTGAGTGGGTTCCAGTATCAAGCTTATCGTAGTCTTCACAGCAACCACCTTCACCTGATGAGCTATCTCACTGGCCTCATTCTGTTCAAATTAATTTTTTGCACTTGAAAACAAGTACAGAATTCTTTGACCCAACAAATTTAGTGAATATGTTAACTAAAAGGCAAATACAAAAATGTTCTTAATAACGTTAGTCATAAAAAAAACTGTATAAAAACTTGATAAATAGCTGTCCAGTCTTTAAGAGTGTATCTCTTAGGCAAAT